GTTACCTTCTATTAAAAAATAAAATCGAAGTTGGTAGAAAGACAACGTATTCCAATTTTGGCGAACATATTGAATAGGGATGAGTTTAAAATCCGGATTTATGAAAGATATCTGGATACTCAAATTCGTAATAACATAAATATTACTCATAATTTATTCTATGAGTAAAATTTTACTTTATTTAGCAAACGGAAAATTGATGATAAATTTATACCTACAATAAAAAATAATGTTGTGCCAGTCAGATAATTATATTACCCTTCTTCTTTCATAGTGCGGTAAAATATACAGGTAATATGTTAATGCACCAATAAATGGACTTTAAACTTACCCTCGTTGCTATTTATGGATTGTACAATTTTAAATCTTTTTTTTTACGATTTTATCCAAATGTCTGCTGTTATATAGAGTAAGATTATATTATTAGTTCTTATTCCCACAGATTTTATTTATAGGTATATTCATACGTTTTTATGAGAATGTGTTTTTAAATGGAAATACATTTTTAATTAATTGAATAGTTCTTAATGAACCAAAAATTGTTTAACTATATATTTTTTATAAGTATTAGTAATTATTTGTTTGGAGTAGTAATTAATCAAAAAGGATTACACTTAAGTCTTTTTTTTTTGGCGATGGAATACAGAGGACTTTAATTGTCAGTCAGTATAATGAATAATGAACATCGAGGACAAAGTTTTGTTATCTTTAAATAACGCTTTTCGAAGTTTAGAAAAACACAACTGAATATATTAGCTAAATATTTTATTATTTGTAGAAACGCGGTAGTCTATATGGAAGAGAAAATAGATTTTATATTCAATGTAATACACGTTCAACCATACACCGGCGTTTTTTTTACGACACGATTTCTCGAAGAAACGCGAAAAAGCTTTCAGAGGAAGCGGCCAAATGGAATGTATTATGTAAATTAACTTAACCATCATAGAACGCTATTCAAGTTTGACATTGTAACTGAGTCAAAGACTGCATGGGTAAACGTTTTTTTTTTTTTTTTTTTTTTTTTTTGGTTTGGAATTTGATCATTTATATTTTTAAAAGCTATCGACGGTGTTTAATGAACGAATGATACCTTGGCTAGTCTTTGTTGGGTGTCCAGTATGTCCAACATGAGAGCGATCTTATGATCGGTTACCCGATAACCGTTTCGATAGCATTCGATCAACTGGTGCAGTGCTAGGGCGGCCGCTTTTGTAGGTACCGTAGCCGATGGTGATTCGATGTCGATGGACGTGGAAGAGTAACTTGCCGAGTTAACGGTGGTGCCAGAAACGGGTAACGATAGCCTACGACGTCTCTGACACCGTGAACTGTTGGGCAACGATCTGTGCACCACCACCGGAGTGGCGACTAGTCGCGGCGATATCGTTTGCGGACCGACACTGTCGATGCTCATCTCACGGCTTAACCCGTTCGGCACGGTACACGACGAACTCATTCTCCATACACCGTCGCCGTCGGAGTCGTTGGTAAACTTAATGGAGTTAGGACGTCTTCGGCGGCTGCCAGTTCCTGAAGCCGGCCTCACAAGAAACACATCGGCCGTAGACCCGTCGCAAAAGCCACGACGGTATGCTTCTTGCATTCGTTTCTCGTCACCAATCGGTTGTTTGCGGACGGTCTTACCGCCGGAGACGATTAACCCATAGTCGGACACGGATTTGGCTAAGGCACTTGGAGGCGACGGTCGTTGGTGTGAATGCTCAGGCAGCCCTTCGGTCTGCCAATCTCCGAAGCCGCCGTCGTCTGTCGGCACCACCGACGATTTTTTTTTATTCGGCACGTCTGTGGTCGGGTAGCCGAAACGCAAAGCCATTGACCGGTACAACGAATTTTTTCGGATCAATTGCAGCGCCGATGTAATTTTCTGCTTGGTATTGCCGTAAGAAGGCGCAGACGGTTCGGACATGGTACCACGGGCACCGGGTCAAGGGTCAGAATAAAGGAAGTCAAACGGCGAACGTACGAATCGCAGGGAGCGCATTCATGCGACTGACGCGCGCGTCTCGTGTGGTTTACCGGTAGGCCCTATTGTCACGTGCGCGAGTGTGGACAGTGGGTGGTGCTAAACAATAACTTACTGTATCTCCTATGACAATGATAATTGGCGTCAGGGACATGGTTTTATTGGGTTTAGGACAAAAATAAGACATATTTATCAAGCAATTGCAGACTGCAGTAGATACAAGAGCTTCGATATGAAGTTGTAAAATTTTGGAGTTTAACATTTTAATTGGATTTGTTTTTTATGTCTAGACTACTCAACATAATTTTTTAACAACAGGGCTATTTTTTAAAGTAACAACTAGTAGATCAGAAATCGTACGTAGGGTACGAAAAGTTGAAAAAGTTAATCCCTTTCCTAACTAAACCGAAAAAAAAGTTCTCTCATTTATGATATTTTTCAACTTAAAGTAGTTTAATGAGATCCCAATTTGTAGTCCAAACCAATATGAAACATGAACCCTTGCCCACAGAAAGGGTTAAACTTTTACTACGACTATTAGTAAATTTTATACTTTTTACCATACATATGCTTTGAAGCGTTTTTTTAGAGTAAACGTTTCACTCTCTCTGTTATAATTCATAAAGGCCTGTGACCTTTCGCCACTCTATTATGTTTCGTTCGAAAGCATCCCTCAATAAGTCCCGACAACACTGTTGACTTTTTAAAAATAATTTTACTAACAGTAAGGGTCAGTAGCGTATTTATCATTTAATTTAAAAAAAAATTAGTAAAAGTAATTGACTAAAATAGTAGTACACAGACCGATGGGCCCTGCGTCCTCTCACTATTTTTACTAGATTTTATCCAAGTCTGAAGTCCTGATATAATAATAAATACCTATTGAGTTTCATTGTTAAACAACAAATACGTGTATTATATTTTTTTAATCAGACAACATTCTTATGTATGAAAACTTAATCATATCTAGTAAATAATCCAAGTAAAAGAAATGAACGCATATTGTATGTACAATAATTAATTAGACATAAAATAATAAAAAGAGAGACTGTCCGTTACTTTCAATTTACTTGTATTTGAATGTTTAGTGTTTAAACTTAGCACTTTAGATATCAATAGAAAATAATTGTTTGACTACTTCAAAAGTAGATTTATGCAAATAAAATGTATTCATTTTACCTTGAAAGCAATTGTGTTCAGGTTTGATAGACTGAGACCTGAGTTTTCTTATGGTTATTTTTCTCCTCGAATAGAAATGTCACCCACAGATAACATAAATAATTACTGAAGAAAACGGCAAACGTATACATAGAAGTATTATATGACAACGAAAAACTAACAATATTAGTGAACAAGATATAAATGTCAACTGCAGTGAAAAAAACTTTACCCAACCGTCCGAACCGATATCGTAGAGGTTGGCTGGGAGATTAAAGAGGCTGACACGAACATATCATAATAGCAGTAATCTGTATTATCAGTTTTATATCTATTAAAAAAACAGATGGCCAAACAAACAACAGCTTTTTGTCAAAGAAAAAAAAACATTATTATTATAGAAAAAACGTATTTAAAAAAGCTATTTGGAATTTCAATAGGAGAACAGTTCTATACTTAATTTAGTTAACAATATTTTCTTAGTTAGTAAATATCTTATTTAATAGGAAAAGTATTTACTGTGGATTCTCAAATATCAGTTCCACCATTTTCAGAAAAGTTTTTTTGTATAAAAAATATTCTGAAAACTGCAGCGTATACATTACACCTACATTTACATATTTTGAATTTGGTTACTAAAAAATTTCAAAAATGTAAGAGACCCAGTGACAAATTAATGAATACCTCATGTTGTAAATTTGTTTTGGCATTTTATATTTAATTTGTGATCACACATTTGCATGATAGGTTTGAACATAAAAATAATGACATGCAAGTTGCAACAGATTATTTACATAGTAAAGGTACATTATATAAAAATGACAGTGTACAGTAGGTAAACTTTCTGAAGGTTGGTTTTAAAGTTATAGTAGATAGTTATAGAAGTTATAGTAGATTATCTAAAAAAATAATTTAACCCTATCTGTGGTATTAAACAAATTACGTGAACTGAAATCATTTTCTACAAGCGGGTAGTAAAATAAACCTAAAATTTGAAACACAATCATTTTTATTTATCTTATAAATTGTAGAGGACAAGTAGCCAATTTGGTAAGGAGGTAGTGTGTTAACGTCACAGTCACTCTGTTAGCTGGCTACGTTTGCTAGACGGGAAACGACTAGTGAATAAGACATCGTCCCCTTCTCCATCAGAAAATATCCTCTCTAGGAGGGAGCAGGAGGCTGTTCCTTTTTTTTTAATGCAAGCTAACTTTTCATAACACACTATGCTACAACTAATGTTTTTTTTTTACTTATATTTTCGGTCTAGATCTCTCTAGTTAGGTTATGTAGAAGTAATCAATTTCACAAGATCTATTGTGCACTCAAGTGACTGGAACCTCGGCAGCAAAAGGGCAATCCTCTCGCCCTCCAGCCTAGTTTCTCAATACATTCTACATACAATTAATCTCAGCAATTTAAATGTTTAGGGATTAAATGACAATACCAGCCTGACAAAAAATATTTATAAATGTATAATATTATAATTTTAGAAGAGAGAATAGATTGAATGTCAAAATAAAATATTTTGAGAATTCAAGAAGTCAACAAAGAATTTTCTTAAGTTGATAACTGGGAACAGCCAAAGAATAAATGGCCGATATCACAAAAGTCAGAATTACTGTGTAGTGTGTATAGAGTCGAATCATTTAATAACAATTTGAAGAAATAAAATTAAAAAACAAAGGATTATTTTTTATAGAAAGATACCATGCATTGATCAGTTTTAATCATAATTAATTTATAGTTCTTCTTAAGATCAGTGCAAAAATCAGAACACAATTTAAAGGCAGTTCCTCTAGAATGAGACTTTTCCATTGCACAAGTAATATTAAATCAATAAGTTAAAACTTACCTTTAACTGATTCATAGCCGTAGTATTGTCTCGTTTGAGTGTACTGCATCTATCAAATTCTGCTTCGATTGCTTCCATAGATGATTCGGCTTCTGATAACCAGCCCAAAAAGTTGTCAAATGATTTGTCCAAATTTTGTAAGCAGTTTACTGCAGAATGTAATGTTTTGCCTCTATTAATGATGCTAAAACAAAAGTCATGTCAATGACTTATATCCTAAACAATATTCTAAATTATGGTTATATAAAACTTACTTTGTGTTCAAATTTTGGAATCTTTGATTGATTTGTTCAGTTGACTTTTTAATTTTAGAAGTGTCATCATTTTGGTAAACAGCAATCAGTCTTTGTGTAAGTTGACTAAATAAATCAACTTGATGCTTGTACTGATGCAACTCAACATGGAATGACTGAAATCATTTTTTTTTTGTTATATTTAAAATTGTATTAGTATTAAATATACATATATAGGACTTGGAACCAAAAAAAAACCAAAACAAAGTAATTCAAAAACATCCAAAACCTTAAAATAATTACTTAATTAATTAAGGTTAAAAAAACCTTAAAATAATTACTTAATTAATTAAGGTTAAAAAAACCTTAAAATAAATACTTAATTAATTAAGGTTTTAATACAAATTCATTTTTTTAATTAGTCTTATTAATTAAGACTTGTTGCAAAATTAATCAAAATATTTATTAATAAATTTGAATGTTTTTCATTTTAAATTAATAATAAAAGAGCTCTAGTGGTTTTTTGTTTTTATTACACATATTATAATTTAACGAAAAATAGTTTGTTGGCCATAATTCTGGCAATTAAAGCACAGAATAACCAACACCTATATTGAACAGTAACAACAGAATTAAAATAATGGTGCTCAACGATTTTAATAACCCGTAATTATCATCAACAAGGAAAAATTTGGTTCAATGCTATGATTAAATATTTTATGTAAGTCTACGTAAATTCTAAATAAGCATTAAAATTGTTATAACTAAATTTGTATAATAATTGAAACAAATTAAAAAAGAAAAATACTACACACGAAAAAACATCTGGCAATATTATTTACCTTTTGTTCTTTTTGTTGTGAATCTAGTATATCAGCAGTGTTGCCGACAATATTCATCTTTTGCAGTCTAGTTTCCATTTTAGTCAGCCAATTGTCAATTTCCAATTTTTTAGTATCATACCGCTGACTATCGCTCAACATTGCGTTCAGTTCAGTTTTGCGCTGCATTACTTTGTTATTGGTTTCATCCCAATGTTCTCGTAATTTTGTCACTACATCATAATTTAAAATACAAATATAATATATTTCGCAAACATAAATTTAGTTAACTTACCTTTTCCATGCAGCTGCTGTCGGTTTGAATCAGCTTTAAGATTTTCAGCCGTGTGCACAAGTTCATCCAATTGAGGTTTCTTTTGTTCCAATTCTCGTAAAACATTCTAAAAATTAATACATAAAACTAAAACATGTTTTGTTTATACTATAGAATAGTAATCATAACAAGTAATACAAGTAATTTTGATTATGTATTTTTATTGATAAAGTATTTAGTATATAATATTTAAGTGTAAATAGATAATAGTTTTTTCATTTCATTTTGTTACTCGTACATACGATTATCTGTATTTATTATAGAAATATTAAGGTATACATACAATATTTATTATTTTCAATATCACTTGTAGGCACTGAATTCAGTTCAGAGCTAATAGACCATTCTTATAAATTACACATAGTATATGGTTTATATAATGTAAGAAAAAAACTAAGACATTGATTGCCATAGTTACCATGAGTAAACACATATTTTCTCTTTTCCCAATTGGAGGCATACTGCTTTTTAAGACATTGTTAGTAGAACTAACCTAGTGGTAGGATGAATGATTACTGAACAAAAATGAATGGCAAGCATATTCATTATTCTTTGACCATCTATTTTAGTAAAAAATACATTTTTCATCTATTTTTTTTTATAGAAACATAGTTATATAATCTATAAATACATTTCAAATAAACAGGAAAACTTAATATTTTGTTTTTTGTATTGGTTAATGTGTTTATTGTTTTTATGATAATTTTTTTTAATGTTGTTTAATAAGATAAATAAATATGGTTTAAAAATAGTAGTTTATTTTTTATAATTATATATATTGTCAGCAAATACTCAAAAACTGCTCCATAATATGGATTTTTCATAAAATACTTAATAGAAGATTTAAACACACTTACTTTTTGTTTATCAATCAATTGGAGTATGTCGCCGACATCTCCAACAGTTACGGATTGTTGACGTAACATGTTTTCTTCCAAAGTCAACCAGTCAAAGATCTAAATTAAAAATATTAGTAAGTACTTCTACTTATAATAATTTATTTATAATCAGTTACTTGAAGTATAGATTTGTCAAAGCTAGCCAATAAATTAAGAAGTGCTTCTGAGCTAACCGGAGATAAGGATCGTACGGCGGAACGAGACTGTAGTTCAGTAACATTTTTTGTTATATTCCTCCAACTTTCTTCCCCTAAAAAATAAAGAAATTATTGTTCATTTTATAGGAAAGGAAGACATACAAATCATAAAATTAAAATATAAAAAATTGTATAAAGCAGAAAAAACCCATCCATGTTTATTTTTACAGCTACAATAATTAAAATTATTATTATGGCAATACCATATTAATATCATAATTTTACTAAAATACTTCTACAAATTTACATACTCTTGTAAAATTGTAACCTTTAGACTTTAGTATACTTTAAGTATCTTTTTTGAGTATCCAGATAATTAATCAACTCATTGTTAAGTTTATTGTATAATAAATAGAATAATATTAAAAAATAAATTAAAAATATGTTTGGATATCGGATACCGGATACTGCAGAATCTGGATTTTTCTCTTAGCCCTAATATCTTGTAATGTTATTTCATGTGTCCGGATAATAATAATATTGTTTAATAAGATAATAATAAGATTAATAATATTGTTAATAAGAGATCAAATAGGCATGTGTAAATGAGACGAACAGCTAAATAGAACGAAATGTAAAAATCATATTACACACACACGCTCAAGGTATATTTTACACTTTGAACGAGACAGATTTACTTACGACCGATGATAATATTCTGATTGCCATGAGTTCGGACGTGTGTGGGTATTTTGGCGTTTGCGAAAAATTAAATACAACAAGCGAGCGAGCATGAATGAAAAGCAAGCGTCGAACAAACAGAAAACCGTACGGCGACGTTGGCAGACGATTGGTGTGCGGGCGGGCAGCAAATAGCGGGAAAAGAAAATATTATGAAAAACGAGAAAAAAAAAAAACGTACACGTACAGTGATTATATTGTTGTAGTGGAGGTATCGAAGGCCGCGTGTTTAAACGCCCGGCGACCGGGGGTGCGCAAAACGAGGGAGGCAAGGCCTAAGGGGATTTCGTAAAGGATTTTGCCCGCCACCGCCGCGAGGATGGACCGGAACAAGTGGCGCGAGCGAGATGTACGACGGCGGCATTCATCGATTGATACACAAGTGGGCGGAGACATAGAGCTTTCAACCCTGTGTCTGCCTGCCCCCGCCGCGTTGTCTACGGCTTGCAGATCAGCACGACCGGCGACGTTACCGGTAAAGTACACACACACACATACACACATCCAAATTTATAAACATTCACACAAATAGCGTCTAGCGAGAGCACCACTTAATTCATAGGCGCAACTAGACTTACATACTTATAGGGGGTGCTAAAATGTTGTATACCTGACTAAACATGATTATAATCTTCAAACCATTACATATAAAATTAAATATTTATAAAACAAAAAATGTCAAACAGAGTATGTACATCATTAAAACTGCATGCGTACAAATCAAGGAGGATTTGGGGTTTGATTTTTGGGTGAGCTTAAGTCTCCCCAACACCCCCTTAGTTGCGCTTATGGCACTTATAAGGTGTATATATATACATATATATATACGCACGTGCGACGGTCTTCAACTTTTTGTGGCAATATCGACGATAGAGTATAAATTAAAAAAAAGTAGAAGGAAAAAAAGAAAGCATAACACAAACCTATACTTACGCGTGATAATATAATATGTTTCTATGATCTCTTGAAGATTTATGATCTTTAAGAGGTCGAAGAGAACCTAAAGTCTAAGACTTTATCCGCGTAACACGAAAAATGTGTTGTTTTAATAATCTACGTTTCTAACTACATCCTAACGATTTTTTCAGAAAAATCTGGCCGTCTTCGTTGCGTTTTAAATACGAGTTTAAGAGCTTGCAAAGAAAATACGGGTCTTAATATTTCACTATTTAAAACAATTGTTACAAAATACATTCGGCCTCCAACACTTTGTTAAGTCGTTGTGTTGACTAGAAAAAATACTAATTTGTATACTATACAATTATTGAGTACAAAACTCTGATTGAATTAAATGTATAAAATAACTAATTAATGCAAAGCATTTTCAAAATAGATTGTGTTTGCTATGAACTCACCCAACAAAACTGCCATGACTACCCCTCTTCCCTTCCTATATTTTTTAGAAAATACAAAACATAGGTAGTACATACACTTTATAATTACATAAAAGTTTAACTGCCAAAATCTATCTACATCATCATAACGTGGCGAATCTATAAATATTTCTCAGTGAAAGTTGCAAATTGATACAGATTAACTTAAATATGAATTTGTTTGCATAAATGCATGCAAACGCATAAGGTTTTGAGTTATATTTATAACTCAAGTATACACACCCTGTGCTATAATATTCTACAGCATACATCACTTATTCAAGTACATTTTTAATTAATTATCTATATGACTATAGATTCAGCAAGACCTTCTTTGGGATGATAATTGTTATTCTGATTATAAAGAGTTAAGGTTCACATAAAAATAAAGATTCAGTGCCTTAAAAATACTATTAACTTAAACAGTTAATATTAAAGATAATAGACTAATTTGGCAAATAAAAAAAATGTTATCATTAGGACAAGTCTTGTGTGAGACGCGGTGGCCTAGTAAGATAAAACAGCAGTCTTACGCCCAGTCACCTGTTAGACTATAGTTTAAGCAAGCATCTTCCTAAAGACAGAAATATTTGTCTTCCGCAAATTTAAAAACAATTTTATCATGCAAACAAAACGAATTATTTTTTCAAAGTTATAGTTGTTTAAGGAGAAGCTAAGGGGAAGTTTGTTTGCTGCCTAAGTGTTTTACATTTTTACTTCTTTAATAATAAACTGTACTATACAAATATTTATTGGTCCACATAACCTTGAAATAATTAATAAATATGACATATATTGTATAATAAAGATTTGATTGTATGAATATTTAATATTTATTTATCATCTATGACCTGTAGACCTGTGAGCTACCTAATACCACAATGTGGACGCTAAAATTATTTTCAAATTTTAGTTTTATAAAGTACTTTTAGTCTTACCTTTTTTAACTTCAACAGATGTCACTAACGGTTTTTTCATAATGTCTTCGTTAACACTCTTTAAGTAGACCCAGTTATCTCTAAGATTTTTAACAATATCCTAAACATATTTCAATTTTAGCATATAGTACTAAGTATGTTAATCAAGGATTTTAGAACACATTTCACAATAAATAAATTTACTTGTAGTTCTGTGGAAACTGGTTGACCAATTCCTTCGCATTGTTTTTCTATATTTGTAAAGTTTTCCAAAATATCCTTTACTTCAGCACTTCGCTCCATTAAAATTGACTAAAAAATAATTTTTTTACAATATTAAAAAAAAAAAGTTAAAAAAAATAAAGATAAATTATTACATATAAGTTTTCATTAGCATGCTTTCTCTCAGGAAACGGTTTTTGTTTTATGTCATCTGCTTCAATTTTTTTCAGGTATGCCCAAGAATTTAATTCTTTTAATTGAATTGTAAATTTGTTCAAAGCAGCTTGTTTACCATTAAGGCATATTAAATTTTCAGATAAATCATTTATCACCTGTTATGAGAAAAAAAATACATTATACAAACATAAATCTTAAACATTTTTCAGTGGTGATGTTATTTTTTTTTTCAGTTTAAGTACACACTATCACATAAATTATAAAATTTACCTGATCTAAAAGTGATTTTATTGATTCAAGGTCATTAGGTTGTTTTAACTTTTTCGACTTTATAGCGTTTAAATCCTTTTGACGTGCTATTAACTCAGTTTCTTTAGACTATATAAAAAGCAAAAATTTATTATTTGCAGTATATGATGTCAAAAAAAAAATTACTACACACAATTACCTTAAGTAAACATATTTTTGAGTTTAAAGAATCAACTTCTGACGGATTTGCTTGAGTAGTTTGTAAGACATTTAAAGTCTGGTCGATGGTAATCTTTGTTGCTGATACAACACTTGATAAATCAGACTTGGATTTTTCCATTTCATTTAACCTAAAAGAAAATATATAACTTTATTGAAATATAGGTTGGATAAGAAATGTACTATAATTTAATCTACTTGTTAACATCTACTCTGGCGAGTTCAGACAGAAAATAAATATACTGAAATATGTTATATACATATATTTATAAATAAAAAAATAAAAAACCTTTGAGAATTTGGTGCTTTGCCAACTGATTAAAAATAACATTTACACTCCAGTATACGACCCCCTGAATTAAATACAAAGCCATTTAAATTATTATAAAATAAAAATACCTCTCTCTTTGCACAGTTAACTTATTTAATACTGCTTGCCATCTTAATCTGAGGCTCTTAACTTCCGACTGAAATGTGTCCGAGTGAGACCATAATGTCCGCGAACAATTCAAAAAACTGATTACCGTTCTATTAAAATTATATAAAAATAAACATTACTATTTTTAAGTAATCATGTAAGTATGCAAAATAAATGAAATACAAGCATTTTAAAAGGTTTCTACTCTTTTAATAAGTAGTTACCTATGCCTAGCTGATACTCTTTTTTCCAAATCATGTTGTTTATTTTTTTTCCCTTGTAATGTCAGCGTTGAATCATTTTCAGCCATGTCAGATTCTATTTCTGCTAACCATTCTGAAAGTTCTTTGCCACTTCGTTGTAAATTACTTACTTCTGTTTGTATACTAGATATTTGCCTATAATAAAAAATATATGATATTCGATAACATTACACATACGCACAGTTATTTTAATAGTTAGTAGTTATTAAATACTTTTTTAAAAACAATTTAATTATTAATTTGTAAAAGAAAGGTAAGAAACGTGGTGATTGAAAGTAGATTTAGAGGCAATGCAAAATTTTCAAAAAAATGATTAATCAATATTTAGTTTTTATTAAAACTTTTAAACATAATTATAATGTATTACAAAATTGCAAATTTTGTTTTTCTAAAATTGGGTAATTCTATAGAATATGATGCAATATTTTGGACAACACTAATACTTGATTATTATTTCACTGATATGATATTTTCAACTTTTGGCACTTTTATTCAAATTTATAAAATAAAATAAAAAAATCAATCAAAAAGTAAAAGTTTTGCGTAAAAAAAAAAAATTATTTTTTTAATAATCATAATTACAAAAAATAAATAATGTTAAATTTTATCTATTATTTCTAAAGAATAATGGAAAATATTAGCTTACCCTGACCGCTCAATTAGACATTTATTTAGTAATTCCCAATTATCGCCAATTTTTTTCATGTTTCTTTCAACAAAACTATCATTGTTAATGTTTTTAGAATTGATGTTGTCAATTGTTACTTTTATTGATTCAGTTTTGTTCTGGAACTCCTGTACACATTTGAATTGCAATAACAACGTAAATACATTTTTAAGAAATGGGCTTACTTTTATTTCAGAAGCTTGAATAGCAACAGTGTTATTTGATAAAGGTATTTGATTTAATTGCTTCAACAAAGACCCTATTATATTTCTAGTATCATTTATTTGAGTAAGAATTTCATCAGATACATTGATTTTTTGCTAAAAAAAGAAGAATATTATTTATTTAAATAATACAAAAAAAGTTATTTTTTTTTTACCTCTTGTGACAAAGGACTAAGCTTATTTAATTTTTTCTGAAGGATTGAAATTTTCGAACGCATTTTATCGACAGCATTTTTGTCATAACACAATGTCTCCACATCCGATACTATTTCTTCCATTTCTGATAGGTTACTAAACTTTTGATTGATTTCTCGTTCCAACACCTATTAATTTAGTTAAGTAATATGAAAAACAATTTTAGAACTTTGACACAATAAATTATTGAGTAGGCAAAAACAGGAATACAAAATTAAATACTATTTATTATGTTATAGTACCTGGGAATTTTTGTGCTTTTGATTTAGCCAATTTTCTATATCTAAAGTGATTTTTTCAAACATTTTGATCTGTTTTTCCAACATTTGCGTTTGTACTTTCACAATCTAATAAACATTTTTAAAAAACGTATAACTAAATATCTTATTGACTGAATAAATATTTTCTCTTACCTCAATTTCAGACATAATATGAGTCCACATAACTCTTAGTCGGTCTTGAATTAACGTGCATAAAGTGCTTGCTCTTGAAGAATCACCCATATGACTAGCAAGTATGAGACTATCTCCTTTACTTATCAATGTAGCTGCATCTGGAGCTATATTACTTACTTCTTGTTCAACAGTCTAAGGTAGAATATTATATTTAGTAAGTAATTATAATTCTTTTAGTTTTGAAATTAGTTATTACCACAAGACGTTTGTTTGGATCAGGTTCCATATTTAACTGACGAAGATCTTTTAAAGTGACTTCCATCCTAGTTAACATAACTTTAGCATCACTTTCATACTTTTCGATGTCTGTATCAATACTCTTTTTTGTATATACATATGACTGTTTAGAAATATCAGATTTTTCTTTGTTCATTTTGGTAACCGAATGATCCTAAAAATTAAATTATAAAAATTCAACACAAGACAAAAGAAAAATATAATTTTTACTAAAAAATAATACGCTCAAGGTATACTATAAATAAGCACACTATTATACAAAACACTATTATCTTTAAATTAATAATGTGTATGTACTATAATTGTCATTAAAAAAAAAAAATTATAATACACCATCTTACTAAATAAAAATAAAATAGAATATTCTGGAATATTCCTGGAATATTCTTGATCTCTAATCAATGCATCTAAAGCAATCTCAACAATTAAGATTAGAAAATACAAGCCGCCTGTTGTTAAAAACTAATTTAGCAAATGAATATTATAGAATGATACGTCTGACCTATTATGTAATTATTTTAAAAACCATACATTAATTAAAGAAATACCGTTTTGATTACACAAATAATTTAATAACAACACGTAGATTAGAATAAAAGCTAGTAAGACATTAGTTACAATTGGATTAGTTATGTTAACAGTTCAGTTTTTTTTACATTGCATAATATACATTATATGCTAACACATTATATTTTACTGATTTTTTGTCTCACAATTAATATTAAATTAGCTGATTATAATACTGCTTATTATATTAAAACAAACTAATTAATGTAGAAATATTAAGAATATTTAACGTATTTAATTCAATAATCATTGTTAAATATTTAAATAATTATTTGAGTTATTATAATTTATAATTGCCTAACTCAGAAGGGGGGGGGGGCTGAAAACTTGGCAAGGCAACTAAGGCAAAACAAATTTTTGAACTTCAGGTCTGAAAAAATCAAACAGAAAGTATATTTAGTTATCAATAAAAAAACTATTTAAAAAAAAAACCGTTATTCATTTTTTTAAGTAACAGTTTTAGGCAAATTTTATTTCCTTCATTAGGACTAATTCTCAATATCTAAAAATTTGCATTGAAATGTTTTTTTAAGATTGATATAACTTCGAAAGATTTTTTAAAGGCTTGTCATCAAACCCACATCAGGTTTAATAAAATTTGTTTTTTTTGTTTTTAATTTTATTTAACTAAGAAAAACAATATATAGTTATAAACTTTCTTTGTCATCCCTCATCTGCGAAACTACACAAATAAATTCTCAGTGAGGGAACAATAAACTTTTTTTTTAATATATATTTGTCGTTAAAGACATAAATATATTACTTTATATAGAAAATAAGGTAACTTTATAATTTTGAAATTAATGATGAAATCTACTCATTTCCGTAGCAAGCTAAAATGCAATGTTTTTGTAAGGAATTTAAATTTATTACTTTATGTAACGAGCGTTATTGGGATGGATATAGTATTAATGACCAATGTGACATGACTTAAAACTTCATTGGTTTAGTAAATTGAAAAGATAAGTTCATTTTTTACCTTAGATAATTCTTCTTCATCCGATGAGCTAGAATCATCAAATTTATCAACTTGTCCCTCATCTTCCGAAAACATTATTACATCATCTGTTTCCTTATCACTGCCATAAAAACTATCATTGTCATCAGTAATTTTTTTCGGTAAACTTAAAATATTTTTATCTTGATCAGCACCAATGATTCTGTAAGTATTTGACATTTCAACTTCTTTATGTAAAACTACTTCTTTACGTTCCTCTGATACAGGATTTTGCCATGCAGTAATAGTTGTATGATGGGTTTTATTCACTTTGACACACAGCGAGTCAGGGTGTTTTTGTTCATTTTCTAATGACATAATATATTCATTACCTAATAACATAAATAACAATACATTAAATAAAAAATTAAAAAGGGAAAAAAATTTTTTTTTACTTTGTAAGTTTTCTGAACTAGATTTCAATGATTCATCAGAAGTAAGTTTTTGTCTTTTAACCAAAATTTCACAAGGACTCAAACTAGATTTTTTTTCTGAATTTTTTCTTCTGTATACAGTTTGAGGCCATTTTTCTTCGTCAGTTTCATCTGCATCTGTTTCTGTGTCTTCTGAAAGTTCTACCATTTCAGCATAACCTTCAGGTACCAAACGATGTTCTGCTGTAACCTCGCCATGGCTAATCACACTAGACTTTAATATTTCATGTTCCTTAACGGCGACCATTACACATTCTTGCATATTATTAATGGTAGGTTTAGTGGCAGATTGCATTAAATTTGGATCTGCTTTAGAGACTTGTGAAAACAACATACTATCTTGAGCTAAATTAAAAGTATCTTCTCTATCATCACTTGGTTTTATTGGGTTGCCAATTTCCATTTTACTATTTTCATTAGTAATTTTGATTTCGGGAACAGATTTATCTTTTGTTCTAGTTGATTTGTTTGATCTTCTAGAAAGTTTAGCATTACTTGTCATTGCATTTATGTTCTGTAAAAAAAAAAAAAAAACATATGCAACATAAATAAATAAAGTAAAAAACAAAAACACTAAATATAAAACCAACCGTCAATTGGGTTAAATTAGTATGAAGTCTATTGATAACTGATTCCCATCTATTATTAATAATATCAATATTACTGCAATGTACGTCATCCTTACACAGTGGATCTTTTAGAGATTTAAACTCTGTATAACAGTTATAGGCAATATTTTTATTTTTTTCCAATTTCTTGTAATCAGAATTCAACTTTTCCTAATGAAAATAAATAAATAAAGATTAACTATATCATTTACACTATAGCAATTAAAAAATATACATTTAGATATCTGATTTGGGCGTCCAAATTTTTGTCGGCTTCATGTGGGTCTTCAATTTTATCCAAGTTTTGTTCAACGTCTGTCAGCCATTTTGACAAAATATTAATATTTGAGTCAAACAATTTTAAACATCTTAATCCTTTTTCCAATTTTTCTTTCGTATGTGATACCTCATCAACCAACTAAAAAAAAAAAAGATGATATAATTTTATACGATAGTTATATTTTCTGGAGTTAAATTGCAGCTACTATATTACGTATACATATTTTTTATTCATATAATTACTTCTTTCAAAGAATTTAGGGTCTGTTAAGCTACAAGAAAATGATAAATACTTACTTTAGAAAACAAATGTTTTACTGTTTCCACTTGTGCTTTATTATCATTTGACTCATTAGTATTTTTAACAAATTCAACTTCATTTTTTAAACTATCTAATGTATTATATAGTTTCTGTAAAAATACAGTTAGTTCAATAAGATCATAAATTAAATGTTGATAATTAATTATTATCTATCTATTGTCATTACCAAACACTGTTCCAGCTGTCCTTTAATGCTGTCTGGATCATCCGATGCTAATTCTAATAAACAAATAGAATTTTCAATGGACTGCAATTCCCTTAACACTCTCGTAATTCGGGTTTGTAAGTCTCCAGGAGATTGGTATCTTTCAAACTTCTCTTCAAGTTGATAGAAACGCTTCTAAACAATATATGAGAGACGTGTAAAAAAAAAACTTTATAAGGTATCAAAATTAAAAATAATATAATATGATAATAAAAAATGATATCAAATTTCAATTAAATTTATTATTCAATGTTTTTGAAAACTTAACTAAAACGTGTTAGCTGACCTATTAATATATACAAAATATTTTTGACAGTAAAAACTACATAGTTGTTTTTACATGAGTAGAAGGAGGAATACGAGAGGTATTATACATACCTCTCGTATTCCCTGATCACTATGATCCATCTGACACTCATTTTCTCAGAAAATAAGAATATTTTGAAAATAACTTTTTTCCTATACTTGCAAGTACATATTTTACTATATTTCTCAATACGTTACATAACATTTAACCTTCATGTCTTATACGTAACACAAGTATGGGTCTCGTTTTTTTTAATTGGTACACATGATAGTTCCATTAATATGTAGACAAAAAATTTAAATATGTACCTAAAATTATAGGAAAAAAATTATTTTCAAAATATTCATATTTTTTGAGAAAATAAGTGTCTTACATCAGATGGATCGCACTGTATACAAAACCTCTATATAGGTATACTTTTTCTAACCTAACTCAACAAAAACGATTGGACAATTTTTTTTTATTATTTATAAACCTTATTACGTTTTTAAACAATTTTTATTTCATGTTTTTTAAGTATGTTTATTTTTTTTTTTTTTAGAGCAATACACAAAAAATATATTTTGGCAAGTTTTGTATTAATTAAAATTTAGGAGAAATTGTAAAGTAAAGACAATTAGTTTTACTTACTTTTAATAAGGATAACTGATCTTTTAACCGATTTGCGACTTCTTTTTTATTAGCTATTTCATAATTGACAATTTGTTGTTCCATGTCGTGTAATAGTTTGGCTTGGATTTGAAATTCTTCAGATAGTCTCTATTGAATGATAACATTTTTTACTAAACCAAACTAATTATTTTTGTAAATATATTAAGGTAGGACTTTTAACCATAAAAAATAAACACGTAATTTAATTTTTTAATGAAAAAATTCATGAAATATGTAGTTGACAAATAACTTACTTGAACGTCATTAGGTATATCATGAGGGGAAAAATCATTTTGAATTCGCGAGGTGAGCTGTTGATCAGTATTATCAAGCCAATGTTGAAATTCTGCTATACAATTTTCAGATTTTTGGGTTTGTTCAATGTTTTCTTCTAAACCTCTTACTTTTTCTTCGGCCTACATAAAAAAAATGTAATCAACTGTTATTTTGTTATTATCATTACAAAATTAAATTATAGAAGTATGTAATATCCCTCCAAAATATACACAATAGATTCATATTTTATAATTTATATATATGCAATTTTTTTTTAAATTAAATTAATTTTTTTTTACTTGTGATGTAAGCTTTTTACAACGTGAAGTCACTTTCGCTAGATCGACTTTTATACTTGATGTCATCACATTGTGGTCACATAAAACAGCACCAATTTCATTCAAACGTTCTACTCTTGATTCAGGATGATTTCTGAGGCAATTTTCCAAGTCCTAACAAAACAAATTTTATACTAAAATTTAGTTTATTGTACATGAATTAATAAATGATAACAACTAGTTAGTTTTTCTTTTAAACCTTACACTAAATGCCAATGTATTACATATTGTTAACTATCAAATTTACTTAAATATTAACGATAATTAACATTAACAGTATATACTAAAAAAAACTACAAAATTACAAATCCAAAGAAATGCATAATTATTAATTTTTTTTTTTGTATTTAAAGATTCAATCATAGATATAATATAATAACACTTACATCGAGTTCTTCAGATATTTCTTCTGCATCTGTAGCTATTGTCTTAATACTTTTTTTAAGACATTTATCTAGTTTATCAAGCCATACATTTTCTTGTGACATCAATACTGCATAAAAATGTATTTTATTTTAAACATAGTCAAGTAGAGTACTAGTTGTGAAACATAATCACTACAACATTTGTTGTTAAAGTTAATCTATAAGCAAAAATGTATTGTTAACCTTTAAATTCTGAATGAAGCTGCACATCATGTTGTAGCCTATTACGAACTAACTGTACACCATCATACAATTGATTCCATTTTAATACCAACATTTTGACATTATCATCTGGACTTTGTTCTACATAAATCATGAAAATTTAAATCAAAATGAAATTTTAAGAGAAGTTATACATATTATTCATAATTACTAACCAAGTTTATCTAATTTAGATTTCTTTTCAATGAGTTTATCATGCAATGCATTATACTTGTTCTTAAGCTTAACAAGTTCACCTGCTGAACCTACAGGATCTTTTTCTCGGTAAGTATGGTTTTTCTCAACTTCCGATACACATTTTTTTATCTCAGTAAAGTCCTAAACATAAATAAGAAAATTGATTTGGAATTTGTTTTTAAATACAATCGACCATTACATACTTTTTCTACAGTCTTTAAACCTTCGGCTGCAATTTCCTCTTTAAAAGTAACTATTTTATTTAGTTTTTCTTCTATATTCTCTAATTTATGAGTTATATTTAACTTAAACTTATGATCAACTGCTGATTCGAATATTTTAGTCATATCTCCATGAAGCTTATCATACAACTGAGAGACGGAATCACAAACATCCTAAGAAGTAATTAATTATTAATAACAATTGAATTGTGTAATGTTAAACTGAATTTTTAAAAATACATTTATCATTTTTAAATCTGGTTGGTCGCTTTGCGAGTTATAATAATTGAATAGATCTTCACTTTGCTCCATCAAATCTTCCAAAGTTCTAAAATTAGACTCCAACTCTAAAACTGTATACAAATCTAAAGGGAAAAATTGAAATGAGAATTACAATGATATATATATATATATATATATATATATAACTTTCTTTTGGCATTAAAAGCTTTAAAAGTATAATTAACTAAAGAAATAAAATCTCAAGGAATTGTTGTAAATACCTTTTTGTAATTTTAATATTCGTTCATCTAATAGAACAGGAATATCACTCCACCTTGTATTTAGATCTTGAAGATCTTCGGTTAACCTTTCAGCAGCTACATCATTGTTTAATTTTATCAGTATTTCTTGTCCATATGTGTTGACCATTTCTAAAGTTGCTCGTCGATCAATTATCGATTTTTGTAATTCCTTCAATTATTTGCATTATATGAACAATTAAATTTCTTTTTTAGAAAACAAATATTAAAAAAATTGATCCATACTTTGAGCTGTTCTAATTGTTTTGACAAAACAGACGAATCGTTCATTAGAACTGGCTCCCCCAGCAAAACACCTTCTAACTCATTAATCCAACCGGCTAATTCTTCTTTAGACTCCTTAAATTTTGTGTTAGAATTTGTTTCTTGAGATAATTTTGCTTGTTCTTCATACATTGAAAATCTAAAAATTTTAAATTTAATTTTTATTAAGGCTCATAATTCATATAAAAATATGTACTGTTTAATTACTTTTCATTTAGTCCATTCCAAGTATTTAGACATTTTTGAATATCGTCTCTCAAAGAGTCATCCGGTTTTAATTGATCATTACTTGATTTTAATTTTATAATGAGGTCTTCTAAGGATTTCAAAGATTTAAATTTCATCTAAAAAGAAAATTTGTTTTTAATTGGCTTGATAATTTATATATATATATTTATATTAAATAAAAACCTTTATTTGCTCAAAAGTGCAATTTCTACTGTCCAGCCATTTAGCATAACCATCCAACACTAATCTCAAATAGTTCATTTCTTTTGTTATTTGTTTTTTGTCTAGATCATACTTGACTTTATTTTTAAATGTTTCTAAAAATGCTTCAAATTCATGGAACTCATCACATATTTTATTGTAGTGATCCAATTTGGAGAATGTTGTTTGATTAACTAAAATCAAAATCAATTATAATTTATAACATTTACCAGTGTTTAAGAATTGTATTGCTTTTACAAAAATACTTACTTTGGCTGTCTGCAACAAATTTACTAACAAAATCCAACTGAAGAACCTGGCTATCATACTCCGACATTATATCTTCATACAGTGCAGCTTCTTCTTCTGCTTCTAAAGGTTCATCAAGTAGCTTTTGAGAACGTTTTATCCAATTAATTATATTTGATGTAACATTATCATATTCATCTTCCTGAGATGATCCACACTTTCTTCGACGTTTTGAACCAAATTCCTAAAAATATTTTTTTCTTCATCAAATTTTTAACTCTCTTTAAAGATATTAAGAATATAAAATTTACATCAGTTTCTGAAACATTCAAACTACTATCAAAAGAACTCTCTTCTAATAATTTGTCTTCTGATTGATCGACAACTGAATGATTCGTTAAATCAAATTCAAATCCAGCATTCGATATCTATAAAGAAAATGTAATTTATTTATTTATTAAAAATGTCTGAACTAAATATTGAATAGTTGTTTCTAAAAATGTATTACTCTTTGGGCTTGTATTTCGATAATTTGCACTAAAGCATCACATCTATCTTGTAATGTTTCGATTTTTTCGGAGTAAGGGCTTTCATCAGTATGCAAAAATTCTTCTTCTAAGCTTTGAATTTTAGTTTGAAGATTAATTATATTCTTTTGTTGACTTGACATTTGATGTCTCAACGTCTGAAATTATCATTATTTGATGTATTGTAATATGAATACTACTAACTAAAAAAAATTTGTTTTCTGGGACAGTCTAATGTATACACGATAAAATACAATATAATTAATAAGACATAAGAACAAACTTATACAAACCTGCAGTTGTTTAATTCTCTCTAGAACTTCGGCAACTTCTGTGACATGTTTAGATTCCATTTTTTTTAAGTTAGTTTCTTTTGAGTCAAACCAAGACTGTAACCATGATAGTTGTTCAGTAATACGACTACATTTCATTAACAGAGTTTGTAATTTGACTCCATATTCTTCAGCCCATTTACAAATATGAGCCCAACGTTCACCCAATGCCGATAACTCATCTTCCATTTGAGTGTGAACTATAATTATGAAATTAATTTCTTAGTCGTTTTTACTGAATTTACATATATATTAATACAGTATGCATAGCATTGATATATTATAAAATCAATGATGTCTAGAGACGGACAATTGCACTGAAGTTTTAAAATTGTAGTAGGGAAATTTAAACAAATTACTAGTCCCAAATTAAGTTATTTGAAAAAACAATAATTTAATTAAAAATAGAAATTTTCAAATTACCACCAGTTATATTTCGAGAGAAAAAATTCAGCAGTGACCCAATTTCAATATTGTTAATACAATTTTAATGAAAAACATGATACTTTTAATATTTCAGTTAAACTCTTACCAGAATCAGGGAAAGTTTTTTCATCAATAACTATGACAAGATTAGATAATGAATCAACAGATAGTTGTTGTCGTCTTAAATCAGCTCTAAGTGCTGAATGTTCCTCAAGCTGTGAACGTAAACTATCGACATCCATCCTAGCTGATTGTGACAACCGTGATATCCGATCCTCAGTCTGTGTTAACCATAACCGTAATTCATCTAACTGCTTTTGTTGAATTCCCATTAAACTATCATGTATTCTAAATATGAAAAATATTTGTAAATTCATGTTATTCATTTTAACTAAAAACATTTAACATTTACTTAGTTTGTCTTTCCATTGCGATCAATCTAAGTTTTTCCCAACGTGTATTCAATAATTTCATCTGAATACGAACTTCTTGTTCTTCTTCATCATTTAGTCCTCCGTCAGCTAACATCTTTGCACCTTCTTCTAATACTGCACCAACACCCTCTTGGTGATGAGACAACTCAATCAGAAAACTCTATTAACATCAAAATACCTTTTATTATAACAATGAATTAAATCAAATCAGTAGCACACACGGTAAACAATCTGACTTTGAATTATATAGTGACTAAAATTCATTTGTCCAAAACCCAGGACTTGCGGTACTAAAGAGGTTATATACTCTTAATCCATGAGCATAAAAAACGAGAACGTTAAAATAGTTAAATATTTAAAAAAAAAAATACTAAGTTATAACTCACTTCGTGTACATGAAATAGTTCACGAATTTTCTCAAGTTCTTCAGGAATTTTTTCTGATTGATGTAAACGGTCTTCTGCTTCAAGTAACCAAGTTAATACTTCTTCCAAGGCTGACTGATATCCACCAAGCTCAACAGAAATATTTGTCAACATGCTTAAAGGTCTTTCTTCTGATTTTTTAAATTTCTCTTCATCCTTCAAAATTTTTTTTTCCCACAAATTATTAGAATTTATTTCATTAATAATTATTTTAAAATACCAACATGTGCATCAAATTTTGAAGCTGCCATTTCATCTGAATACTGTGTCAGTCGTTGAAACAAACACATAACGTACATCATCACAGACTTTTTATCAGGCACAGAAGTGTTAACATCTACAAAAAGAAAAAAAAAGTTTTAATTAAAAATCAATAATGTTTTAATATAATAAATACACTAACCTTCAGGATCTAATAATCTTTCAATATTTAGATGTTTGTGTGCAATAGCAAATACATTTTCTAGTCTAGCATTTGGATGTTGTTTTAATATTAAATTATAGTCAATAAGATCAGCTCGATACTTATGTATTAAGGCATTAAATGCAATTCCGTCAGACCAGCATGTAGTGAAGTTTTTTATATCAATTCCATAATCCTAAACATATTTAATTAATACCAGATATATCTATATCATCATACAAATACAATGTAAATTGTTTTAAATAATTTACCTCAACATTTTTTCGACACCATGCCAATAGTGTTTTTTCTAAATTTGTTTGTTGTGATTCTGTCATTAGTTCTTTTAAATGACAATCCACCTAAAAAAAGAAAAAAAATGAAATTAACATTGTTATAAAGGGAATTAAAACCATTTAGTTTAAGTGTATGTTTTTAATTCAAATTTAAATATAATAATACTTTTTTAAGTACTTGATAATTTGAAATAATATACAATACAATATTTACCTGCCAATGTAATATAATACTCCAAACTAGACCAAGAATTAGCTTTGGACTGCCATCTACTATATCATTACTACTAATATTAACCAACTTTACCTGAAAATCAATAATGGTTGTAATTAATAATTTATATAACATGCATTTTATTTCAACTAGTAACCAAGTAGTAACTAGTATTGTATTAGTTATAACATGAATCAAAAAATAATCATTTTTTCAAATCATAAAAAAAAAATGATTTAAACTTACATTGTTTTGTTCTAATATATGTAAAGCTTTGTTAACATTATTTAAATGATGAACTCGCATTCTACCTTTCTCCGGTTTCTGAAAAAAACCACAAAAGTTGAATAAATTAATATAAAATACAATTTTAATAAATCCTTACAATTTGTGTTCCAGTCAGAATTTCTAGTAAATAAAGTAGCTTTGTTCCATTTTGCAAGTCTAAAAATAAATCTGATACTGTCTCATGATTTTCCTAAAATTATAAAATACAACATGAATTTAATAATATTACTTAAAAAAAAAACATTTTTGGACGTAACTAACTTTTACAAGTTGCGAATTTATCCATTTGGTAAATGTTTTCTTTTGAACATCTTCCCGTTCATCTAAAAAACAAGAAATAACAACTTTGAATTTAAATTACAATATGAATAATTCAGTAATATGATAATGTACAATAATTAAATTTATTAACCAGTTATGTAATAAAATTAGATGATCTTTTAATTATAGTGTTAAAAGATAAAAACAACTTGTCAACAAAAACAATGATGTACTAATTAAACATTAATAGATTTGAAGAAACAACTAAATGTTATGTATTAATAAAAAAAAGCGTAAAAATAGAGAGAGTATTTATAAAATTACTAGTAACTTATAACTAATAAGTTACAAGACACATTGATAAATAAAATAATTATTATTTAAATGTATCTAGTAATGTGATATACTATCAATTACCAAAAACTATTAACTTTTATTATACTCATTAAATAATTAAACCAATAATGGTATTTTACCTTCTAATGGAAATATGTTCAAATTTATCATACCTACTTGGTATTTTCAAATAATTTTAAAACATTTAAAAAAAATTGTTATTTATAAGAGTTTATATTGTTAGAGCATAAGTATACATATTATTAGTTAGAAATCAAACTATACAACAAATTACTACGTACTAATTCTCAAGTACTATAATAATTTTTCACATTCATAATTTTTATAATAATTGGAAATTGTTTCTATTCATAGTGATGAGAGCTCTTTTGTAGCGTATTTTAACTTCTAGTAATGTACAAATAACGGTTCTCGGCCGAATACATAATTTCGACTTTTATTGACCCAATAAGAAATTATCTTGAAATGGAACAAAACAAATAGGTTTGTTGTGGCTATTAATTTGATGGGCCACAATTAAAGTACAACATTATCATCTGTTTTAGGTCACTGTAGAAAGCCATTAGGGGGATGAATGTTGCACGTTCGATCATTTCTACGCACGGCCGGATCGGATGTTTGTGCGTTGTTCGACAACCCAGTACGGCCCGAGGGTAGTTTTAGCGTCGGTGGCTTACCTATCATTATGTTGTCGTTGGTGGCCATGGTCGGCGTAGAGTTGGGCACAGCGGCCGCGGTTTGTGCGACGGAACGAGCAACAGGTGTCAACGTCGTGTCACATAGCGCGCGGTGTACTTAAGCCGCCGCGGTAATATGCGCGGGCGGACCGACCAGTACGATTCGGCGGAAAGAACGACCACCGTGTCTCGCTCGAGTTCGAGAATGTGTAACAACGCGTCACAGACGAATAGCGCCGGGACTTATCGCGTTCGGCAATCGGAAAATTAAAAAATTTTACCCGGAATTGGCTATTATCAATGTCTAAGTACGAAATCAAATATTCGTAAAATTATCGGGCCGATTGACAACGACGACGACGACGGCGGCCAACAAAATTACGATTTCTATTCGCGCGCGTCGCCATTTCAACGGTAGATGTCGCCGTCGGTATCTTGGTCGTCCCACTCGCCGCCGTCGCCACCCCGCCCCCGCAAGATTTACTCCTAATTACCGTACCCGTTTACGTGGGTACGCGTGTTTGTATCTTGTTTTTTTTTTTTTTTTTTTTTAATACAATACACGGATGTAATAATATAGTGTACTATACTGTATAGTGTAAAAACCGAATACGGATTACGCTATTGTATTATTATTATTATTATTGTGTATTACGGGTACACACACACACACACGCGTACGGACACCGTTTGCCGTTTCGTTTATGATTGCTCAGATTTTTGCGTTGTTGTCACATTTTTCATCGTAGCCGCCGCCACACATTGGTCATTATCAAATATCAATCCGGCGTTACGCTTATCCGAATTCCGAAATAGTGTAAATACATATTATTACAACAACACCGTTCGGACATTATAATATATTTTTGTATATTTACATACCTACTACTCTACATGTCATTATTATTGTCCATGTTTCCCCATAGAAATTATTAACGTGGTCCGATCTATTGTTTTGCCCCCGGCTGCCGTTTTTACTTTTTCTCTATGTGACCCGTGCGTGTCAAGCGTTAGGGTAATGTCGTACGGTACTTGTGGGAGATATTGTAAGACCATAGCTACCGCCGAGCGAACGTCCAACACGTTCCGGTGGGATAATGTGACGCGATAACAGGAAGCACAACCGGGAGTCGGGACACCATTGTCCGTTGGTGAGTAAAGCCGGCGTCCATGTTAACAATAATAAAAAAAAATAAAAACTATGTTCCTCGGACTTGCACGGCAACACAAATCGTTATTGGGAAAAACTTCCGTAGTACTACCGTACACTGTATCTGTTTGAGGAACGTAGGTGTATCACTTACCGTTTCCTATCCCAAGGTCCAGGTGTACTTAATTGTTTTTTTTTTCCCATTTAACGTTGAGTCTTGAGCCTGTAGACTCACCATGCCTTATCATCAATTTATTTGAATTTATTTATTATTTATCATATTGAATGACACATTTTATTTCATGTTGATGAATCATTACATTACCTAAGTTTATGAACTTCAATGTATAATTTATAAACATTTTGTTTTTTACAAGATCATTAGATGCCAATAAATCAATTTAAAAAAAATTGTATTTACCTATGTATTATTCTATTAACATTAGTTTGTTTTGTGGTATTTACTACTTGTTTAAAAGAGTGTTTATAGTTTATATCTACTAACAAGTAACAAGGTACATTTTAGACCTATGTACATTTTATTAACTATTTGTAATAAATAATCATTAGTAAAAAGATTGAAAAATATGCTTAAGCAAATTGTTAACTCTTTGTAAATGTTGAAAACAAGTCTACAGATAGGGGTAAATTTAAATATCACAGTATATTATCATATTTAATTTCAGATGAATTACACTTAGAATTTCTTATTTAGGTGCTAAATATGGATAATGACATTTTGGATGAACGGTCAAGAGAATTTCTAGAAACGGCAGACCAATACATTAGTGAGCATGGTCATCAGCATGTGACTGAAGGAAATGGTAAACAACTGGGTAACCAACATAATATACCCGAAGAATTTCGTATTGGTGAGTATTTAAAGGATCTAAAGTAAATTATTGATTATAAATAATTGTAACATTGCTTATGTTTAGATGAAAATGGAGAATTCTCTCACCATACCGCTACATATTATGATACGGGTGATATGTTATCTGCTGAGGGATCTGCTACTCTCACAGAGGATGATCATCGGTTAGCTAATGAACTAGCTGATGCTTTAGCTCAACAGAATAAATCTCTTGTTGACGGCAACCATCATGATTCACACCTTATGACCAGTTATTTATATAGTACTGATCTTGATTTGGAATCAAATAAACATTCTTCACAACCATCAACTCATATTAATAACCAACAGGTATATATTTTTTTTAGCATATTTTATTTTATTTTTTACACTTAAAAGTTGAATTATTTTTAGGTTATTAATTCAGAAAATTTAATTGAAGTCGAAGCTTCGGAGTCTGATTACCATGCAGAAATACAAAACAGTTTACCACATAAAAAACGTTTTCGTAAAAGAGAGGCAGCACCACCACCACCAGTTAGGAGTATACATCCCAAATGCTATAAATGCAAACAATGTGGAGAACAATTCAACTCTCAGTCTTTATTTACTGTAATTAATATATCCAATTTTAATTTGTTAAGATAATTATTAATTTGAAATTATTTATAGGCTCATAGGGTAGTTCACGCTCCTAAGAGAGTTAACGGACGAATGCCATTTTTATGTGAAATTTGTGATAAACATTTTACTCATCAAATAAAATTTTTTGAACATTTAAAATTTCACTATGAGCCTCAACAAAGTAAAGTGATTGTGGTAACGACTGATTCTGGTACATCTCCTCATCATGTTAACTACCAGAATCCTACTACTCAAGATTCAACTGCAAGTATTGAAAATCAGTACATTGAAGAAACTATTCAAGATCAGTCGGAACTGCATGATTTACCGCCCTTACAAAGCTATAGGGTAATATTATTATACTAACAGTGAATCAAAAGTCTAAATAGTATTTAAAATGTTTAAATACTTTTATTATTTTTAGTTAAATGAAGAAAATATGCAAGACGATAAACATTGTATATTTTCATCCGATGGATCTATACTAGCTGCTCAATTACAACAACCATTTCCTTCTTGTCATCTTTGTGGCCGAAGTTTTCGTCGAATAAAGGCGTTGGAATTGCACATGGCTTCAGTACATCCTCAGCCCGCTACAGTAGTTACTGTCAAACAAGATTGTCTGGAAGAGTTTTCTGATCCAGAAGATTTAATGGAAGGTATCAGGCACATGGTGCCTGGAGTTGCTGATACTGAATCGGAAACCGATGAAAAACAGCCAATGCCAGAGTATGTTTATTGTATACCTTCTTTGGAGCAGTTGTGTAGTCGTAATGGTGTACCCAAATTCTACTATAGGTACAAAATATCGCAAAACGTGTGTTTGTACTTTGTCTACGGTTATCTAATCTATCCGACTCTTTGACTACACCACTGCTTCTTAAACCACATTCTCCCCTTATTAATTAAAAAATTAGCTTTATAAAGTTAAAGTACATATGAATTTTGTAATTAATTTAATATTAAATTCCTTAACTTCGGTAGATGGGAATATAATGGTGAAAGTAATGCTAATCCTGAAAATACAATGCCTATAACAAAAACAGAAGAAGATAGTAGTTTATTAAATGAAAATGATGATAATGGTGAAAACAGTCGAGCTGAACACACTTGGGAAGATGATACTGATGAACTAGAACAAATCATGAAAAAAAATATATCCAAAAATCTCGTCTGTACTCAATGCAAAAGGAAATTTAATCACCGTAATTCATTGCTGTATCATTTAAGGTCGCATTCTGGTAAGCGACCACACAGTTGTAAGCTTTGTCCTAAAAGTTTCTTCTCGAGTAGTGCACTCAAAGTAGGTTTTTTTATGCAATTATATATAATAATTTTTAAGTTAAAAGTTATAAACTGTATATAATGTTAATGTTAAATGTTTAGGTGCATAATAGACTTCACACGGGTGATAAGCCATTTGAATGTGAATGGTGTGGTCGAAATTTTCGACAGTGGGGTGATCTCAAGTATCATATTGCTTCCTTGCATTCAGAATCCAAACAGTTTCAATGTGAATTTTGTGGTAAAGACTTTGCTCGCAAATATTCGTTGATAGTACATCGCAGAATACATACGGGAGAAAAAAATTATGTGTGCGAGTTTTGTAAAAAAACATTTCGAGCTTCTTCTTATCTGCAAAATCATCGTCGCATTCACACTGGTAATTTTTAATAGATTTTCAAAACTATCATGTCATCTTTATATAATATTATGTTTATACTCATTAATATTTAGGTGAAAAACCTTATAAGTGTGAAACATGTGGCAAAGCGTTTAGAGTGCGTTCGGATATGCGGCGCCACACAGTAGTTCATAGGAAAGACAATGTTAACACTGTTCAAATTAATAGCTATGCCGGTCAAGTGAGTGGTATTGTCACTTCTTCTGACACTAGTATCCATTTGACTAAATTAGAAGTGGATAAAGACAAAATAAATGCAGACACCGATGTGGATGTCAAATTTCATGAAAATTATTCTCATGATTCAGACCAGCTTCTGACTGCTGATGGTGTCAGTGCTCCTTTAAACCTCAATCTGAGATCACAAGACGATGGTGATAACAATGAACCAAATAATTATCAACAATTCAATGGACGGCAAGAAATTATCGATAGGGATACAAATACATTGTATGTTTGGATACCATCTAGTACTGAACAACTGTTACAAAGTGAATAATTTATATTGAACAAAAGACGATTGTTGACTCTTACCTAATATTCAAAACATACAAGTTTATTATATATATTTACATATATATAAATATATATATATGTAAATATATATATATATATAATATATATATATATATATATATATATATAAGCTAAAGAATGTGTTGTTAAGAAGTCTTAATTGGTAAGCAAAAGTTATAAAACATGAAATGTATTTAAAAATGTATATATAACTTGCTTTCCATTGAGATATTACTTAGTTTTAGAAATGTTGATATGAAAATTTATCAACGAGCCAAAATGTAAATTAATTTAAATTTTTAAAAAAAAAATTATTTGTTATGTGTAGCATAACTTAACACACATTTGTTATGGGATAGAAATGTAACAATACTCTATTATTATATATATTTTTATAAAATTGAGTACAATCGAGGATGGATATTGGATATAATATCTACTCGATATTTAATAAGTAACATTGTATAGGCAATTTTTACCAAAAATATATTTAGCCAATATTTTTTTAAAATTTTGACAAATATATTATATTAACTATTTTATATTGGTGCTTAAACCTGATGCCGAATTATATTTATTGTTAAAAAAATTTATTACCGAGTACAAACATACATATGCTTATTAGGACTTTACTAGATGATGATTCCAAATTAAATTTTACATGTTACAACTTCTAGTCTAGTCTAGCTATATATTTTTAATATGAAGCTGAAACGGTATTGGTTTTACATTTTTTTTTTTTTTGCCAAAGAAATGAATTAATTTTTAATTGAGAAATGAAGACATTTTGCCCATAATGACTCGAATTTTAAAGCAATTTTCTTATTACTTCAAGTTTTTTATAACAACCTTATTATCCTGTATACCAATATAATATGAATGTACAGTTTAATAATACAGATTGGTTTTTGGGATAACCAACATACTGAATTAGATTCAGGTTGGATCCATTATAGTGGTTTAATAACTTGTTTAAGCCTGTAGGGAATTTTTTGACAATTTCAACCGTTAAATTAACAGTTGAACATTTCCTAGAGTTACTAAATAAATAAATAAATTTAAATATTAACTGTTTTTCTACGGCTCGCCCTTTCCAACGAAAGTAACCTATTCAAATATGATATCCCTAAAATGTTTAGATTCCTAGCTAAACTCCATGAATATGTTTTGCATTTGTTATTGATAATACATGGAAAATTGTAATTATTCATAAAAAAAAAATTCAACTTGAAAACTAATCATAATTTTTTCAATTTGAATAAGATTCTTTAAAGCTACAATATGACACTTTACAATCCTTCTTTTGATGTTTCGTTTAAAATTGTTTTTATTAAGTTATCAGTTTTATAAGATTCTATGGGCACAACTTGATGAAAACGATTATTGTGAAATATCAATACAGTGTTTTTGAAGTGTCATATTTCAACTTTAAGAATCTTTTTTTAAATTTTAAACATTTTGAGTGGTTGGATTATATTTTTAATGAAAAATTTAAATTTCCCGTGTTAATGAAATGAAAATATAATTCATAAGGAAGTACTTATAATTATTAAGCTAGGGATTTTTTATTTGAATAGGCTACTATCAACTAGGGGAGGAGGGTAAGCAAAAAACATATTTTTTAGACATTAATAAAATATACTCTTATGATAATTTGATTTATGTTAATTATTATTAATTAAACAAAGTCTAATTTAATACATTAAATCATAAAAACACTTCTTCTTCATCAACTTAAAGAGAACATGTTTTGAAAATTGCATAGCCCGCTAATTGGAATAATGCACTTGATATAAATAAATCTGTTATTTTGGGGTTTTTCGGCGATTTCAATATTTCTTTAACATGTTAAGTTATTTTTCTAATCGCCACCAGTTGCAACTTATAAACTTAAAATGATTAATTTCTAGATTAAAAAATCTAATTAACTTAAAAAAAAAAATTGACATTAATTCTGAATTCAGAAAAAATATATAAGAAGAATTACTACTTGAAATACATTTTAGAAAACTATTAAAACGTAAAAATACCACAAACCGGTATTTTTTTACAATTTTGTAGGCGATAAGTATAATTAAAAAGTACCATAATAATTATTATAAAGTAGGTATTGCGCATTTGGAATTTCATCACACTAATTACAACTGTAAAATCATAAAAGTTAAAACTATAATAAACATAAATATTAACTTACAAGTTACAATAACACACACTATAATTCAGCACATCTTAATAACTAATAAGTAACTATCATAATTGGTTATTTTCAATCGTCCGACTAATAGCGATAACATAAATTAGAAAAATTAAATTAAAATCTGCAATAAAAAATGATAAAATCAAAATTAATATTTATAACCTATTTATTGCCTATACTGTCTAATGATAAACCTAAGTTACATAAGTTTATCGACTACCATCAAACTAAAAGCGAGGAAAACGTATTTACAAAGGCTAACTAAAGAACTTAAATTAGAACATGAATTGTAGAATTCATCAAACATTTTCAACCACGAGTTGTGTATTTATATATTATTTTATCAATCAATTTTGTTTGGATGTTCAGGAAGTGAACTTGAGGGGGGTTATAACCATAGTGGTATAAGCAACTATATAAGACAAGTTAACCTAAATTAGAGAAAAACAAGGTTTATTAAAAACTCTTGTATTGTGATGCCATTTGGTCTTGGAGATACAAATTAGGTACTTCACTTTGCTTTGCGATACATTGACTTTTAAGATATGCCTATAATACCTTACTCAACTTTTACGAAAATGACACTTACACATCTATGGCTAAAAGTCCTCATTTATATAATTCTATTATTTTAATTTGACTAGTAGGTAACTCCAAAATACGGTACATCTTATTCGACTGTACAAATTATAAAGTGGGGTTTTTCATGTTGTTATCACTACAAATTGGTAGTGATTTTTTTTCTTTTTACAAATTATTTGCGAACTATTTCTTTAGCACCAAGTAGATCTACTGGTTTTGCTACTACCATAAATACATATTAAATATAAAATTATAACAATATAATAATTATTTAACATAATATAATATTTATGTAATTAATAAGATCTTTGACGATTGTACTATGATGACGTACTACTATTTGATGGCGACCGTTTATTTTGGGCAATATTATTAATATTATGTAGTAAAAACTAGAAATGAAATATTATCGTTACTAATGCATCCAAAATAATCAGTGTGATTCGTTATCCGAAATGCGTAGACTGTTATTTAACGGATGTAAAGCAATAGACACTTGAGACACAACAGTCTTGCATCCTTCTTCTGGATAATCATCTGCAAACGAATATAATAATATATAATAGACTGATAGATTCTGTTTTTTATCATATTATTATTTCTGGGAGGATAAGTTACAAGGCAGGAAATATATGAGCTCAAGACCCTGCGGTGTACATTAACTATCATAACATTATATCATGTCTAGTCTATCCGTTTTCATGTGAAAAATAAAAAAAATGATGGTCGGAACGACGAAGGGACCAACGATTTGAAATTAAACAATCCGATTTGATTATTTTTTGTGTGCAATAATATGAATAAACGTTGTTGGAATACGACTAATAACATTGTACTATTTAATTTCCACTTATATAGTGTTAAAAACGATATTTACATATTTTACAGTAATTAATAACAACACAATAGGGGTTTACATGGTAATAGAATGTAAACAAAACATATGTAACAAGAAGTCAAGTTGAAAAAAACAGAAATTAATATAAGTAATATGTTAGTGCGTGTGAAGAAATTATTTAGTGCAGTTGCATGCCAGATGATGATGTTGTTGAAAAGTTACCGTGCGGATGGAGCCGTTTCGATATAGACCTCAAGACTGGCATTCTATAATTGGTTGTAGTGCAACAGTCGAATGTAAGCACAGATTTGTACGCTTTTCTGTATTGTTTGTTCATTATCACGTAAATGATTGGGTTTAAGCAAGCCGACGAATACAGTGTGATGTACGCCACAAGATGCAACCCTGTTGAACAAATAAAAATTACCAATACAGTTCATTTTATTGGCGCCAGGGCCGGTCGACATATAATATTATTATGGTCGATTCGTATCTGCAATCGACAACGGATTTTAAAAGGAGTTTTATTATATGTTGATTATTATAATATTATTCGAATAGATTTGTGTTTAGTTTCTACACATTACAAAACGAGATCTGATAAGGTATTTTTATTTCGCAAACATTTTCGATCATAAAAAAACAAGTTTATAATAATATTGTTTTGTCTATAGATAGTATTTTATTTTACACTTGTGAGATGAACTATCTGCTATAGGCATTGTCGTTGGGGGGAAATAAATTTACCACTCGTACGTCCAGAGTATATGAACGCTAGTATTTAAGTTTATGTCGAAGTACTCGAAACACTTGGAAATGCGTAAAATTTTATTAGTTTTTTCTAAGTCTACGGTAAAGCTATTGACTTGTAAGGTTTGGCTTTTATATCTCATACATTGTGAGAGCTGCCAACCGACCGACAATAGCGTAAAATAGGGTAATAGATATTTATTTATGTATTATTCTCTGAACTAAAAGAAGACAATTTGTTTTTTGTCAAGTACATTCATTAATCAAGTAGTAGTAGTAGTTCAAGTGGCTAAGTGGGGTCATACCATCCACCCAGTAAGTAAAATTAATACCTGGATAGTATACATGTGGATCGGTGATTTTAATCATAGTTATTGGAAGATACGAAATCACAAATGATAAAAATATGGCGAGCACCATTTTAGTAATCCTCCATTCATTACGTTTTTTTTTCATTGCTTGCCTATTTTTTACCGTCGTGTCACTTCTCGTAGACATTTGATGTTTTTGCATTCGATTTTCTGATCTAAAAAAAAAATTCAAACGCTTTTTTAATTGTTTTTCTTATGGAGTTTTAATTAAATCACGTGACGCCGTACTTAGGTTTACTTAACGGAAGAACTTTGAAAATTTGGCATGCTCATTAGAATTGCGAGTAAAATCGATCGGTACTCTAGTTTAAACGAAGCTAAATATTATTTTATTATTGGTTTTGAAACTAGAAATTTCGCATGTCTTATTTCATTGGGATTTTATAGTTCCAAGTTATAAATTATTATTATTAAAATTAGTTTAGATATTGAAGATCAATACTTAAAACGGTTGATGAACTTTGAGATATTATTGGGACCATACAGAAAATGAACGTTAAAAGTAACAGTACCACTGCCATTAAAAAAATAAAATATAAAAACCGGACATAACCGTCTAGTGTAGAATTTTAAGGCCATTAAAAGTGTGGACTATGAATCTAAATGCCGTTTTTTACGTTTGACTCGAGGATTAAAAAGTGTTTTAAGCTAACATAAACGACCCAATAAAAAACCGTAAGTATAAAAAATTAAATTACTTGACTCTTAATAATGTTGGGTCGTTGTTCCGTCTTTTTACATTTTTTTTCATAGAACGTTTTTATTTAATTCGTTCAAATCGTATGCCAAATTAGAATGCTCAGAATTGTATTGAAAACTCGTGGAAAGACATTGCACTTAGAGCGTTTAAACTATGTGGCACTTAAGCTTTATTTTTTAAATTAAAATTCTGCTAACTCATCGCATTACTCACACACGTTGTTATTCATATTATTTGACGATAAGATGCATTAGGTAAGATATGCACATGCTTTCACGCGATTTAAAAAAAAAACTGTATTATTATTCAACCAAGTGGTTCTCCTAGTGGTAGTAGTAAACGAGGAAAACAATTTTGGGGTGGTATTTTTAATTTATGGGAAGGGGCCCACACCGATATTTTGCCTTATGTTTCAAAATGTCTAAATCAGAGCCTGCTACTGACGTTAGTAGGTATACGTTTAACACAGCTCAAAAAGCGTTATACCTTAAAGTAACGCGCATTATGCGGGTGCTCACTGACAGTTGTTGTGTGTCAAAAATCAACCGCGTCGACGGTATTAGTTATCTTTATAAATCGGAGTAATTAAATTGATAAATCGTTTGTACTTAGTAACTCAACTAAAAGCAACCAGAGCTGTTCTATAGACGATATATTACAACATCATTGTGAAAGCTCAGAGCACAAAAGGTAGTTAAAAATACAATAACCGATAGTTTTTTTTCTTATAGAATGTACGCTATGACGTTAGAAAAATATGAATAATAGGTAAGCAGTTATTTGTCAGTATCACGTTTAACTAATAAATGGTTTTATTTTTAACTTTATTTTTTTTTCTAATACAACAGAATGCACACTATCAAATATTATGTTTCCACTTAGTTAGACAAATGGACATTTACCTAGAGTATAAAATTGCTGGTTTTTTTTTTTTTTTTTTTAATGATTGTATACAGTATACTGTATCATCATTATTTAATAATGATCCTTTACAAACGTATCCAGTATAAAACTATTGATTTCTTACTTGTGAATTACCCAAAATATCCCAGTGTAACAGCACACGATGATGATACAAGGTATGACAAATCCTGTGATAAACAATGCGGTTTTTGAAGATCGACCCCATTTGTCCGTGGTTATTGAACACGTTCCGAGCTTGGGATCGTGCTTGAATTCTCCTAAAACAAAACATTAGATGCATAATACATTAAAAAAAAAATCACTTGTTCAGTAAAAGTTGAATGATTTATTATACCCCATACGCCTAGAAGGGTAGGCACTTGCATGCCAAATGCTAGTACCAGACAAAACGTGATCATGAACGCTATCCATATTGGACGATAAATTCTGCTGTATAGGCTCGTGTGTACGATCATTATATACCTGTAAAATCATGAAACATAAAACATAAATCTGATAACAATAAAAAATACTCAAAGCCGGGGTCTCAGCTCTTAATAAACTATATACGTACACACATATAATAATTATAATTTTATAGGAATAATATAATATCTATTCTATTGTATAAATATTGTTTCAATAAAAAAAAGCCTGTTAATATTAAATAAACTGTTTTCTTTTTAAAGAAAAACAAAATAATGAGGCTTAGAATAATCTTTTAGGGGGGTCAATATAAATATTCACGACCTTTAAGTAGGTACATTTTAACATTTTTTGAAAGAGTTTTAAAGAATAAAACTACTCGTCCACATGTGCTGTTTTATTTTGCTCGCGTAGCTTAACGCTATTAATTTACTTATCGGTGTCAAACAATCGCTGTAATTTTCAATTGCTATGTATAATGTGTATATACCACTATTGGCGCACGTGTACCGTGTATTATATTTCCCAGTAGATGTTTGTCATTGTCGTTGGTTATTGTCAAAAAGATATAATATAATATGCTCGCGTAGTGGGCATTCCAGTGTTATATTAGAGATTGCGTGTGCCAAGTTCGTGAGCCACCTTTCGACACGGTGCTTTATAGTACCTATCTGTGTGCGTGTGTGTGTGCAGACAATATAGGAATTCTTAGGAAAGCTCTTGCCACGTTGTCTTTCATTATCACTGGTCCCATGGCGGCTGTATAACATGATCATCCTCCACTTGTGTGATCGGGTCTGGTATCATTAACCGGAACATTGTTTTGTCGTCGTGTATTTCCCATTGGGTACACAGTTTGACGTCACTAGTACAAAATGTGGATTACCGTTGATATATTTCCCCATAAGTTACATAAAGAAATGTTCCTAATGTACTTCTAGTGGTAATTGAACCGAGTTCAGATCAACCAATTGTAAATCATTTGCACAATCGAAATTTTTAATCTGATTGAGTACGTACCAATACATTCACGTGTTTACAAGTGTAATTCAAGCTTAACTTGTGTTAAATATTTAAATACATTTTAAAATTGTTTACATTTTAACCATCAATTATTGTAAATGTATAGAAACTGACCAAATCATAAAGCTTAACCCTTGAGTATATTGTGTACCGCGTTTTCCATAAAAGGGTTAATATGAGTGCACATAAGGGTTAATTTGTTTTTTAACTAAAAAAAACATGTACCGTCCGTCTATTTAACGTAGGACATAGGTAGGTGTAAAACACCAAATTTTACAGGAAGGCAAAAACAAAAAGGCAACAATATTGCTAATAAGGGAATTCCATAGGAAATTTCAAAGTTTGATAATTTTATATCAACGTGGGTAATGGGTATAGAGGATAAAAAGTATACTATATTGTTTTCAAATCAGCTAGTGTTAAGTAATTAAGACAATATGAGTTATTATCAAAACCAAGTTCGCCGTAAATTATTAAAATAACTTTAACTTAATATGACCTGTTGATAGTGATCATGGATATGAAAAGCAGCGAAACACCCACATTTCCGTATTGGAAAAACGGCACCATCAAACATAATGTGTGATATTGAGTCCAATTGAAGTTCAAAAACCTTGATGCACTGAACGGTAACACTGCAATACAAAATAATAAATCTGCAGCTCCTAAGCTGCAAAAATATATTCATTATAAAATATAGAAAATCGAAATTAATATTATCTTTTTGGTGTATCTTATGATAAAAATATGTTTCAAAAACCTATTGACTGAATTATAATAACATTACCAGATGATAAACGTGGACGCAACGTTTCGGATCCTTTGATTTCTTAATAAAGCCAAAATTGTCAAACTATTGCCTATTATTCCAACGCACATTACAAGTATAGTCGTAAAAGCAGCCATGTGCATAATATTCTGATTTTCTTTTGCCCATCTAATGGTATACAATGTTCGTGTTATTATTGTTGTATATTGTTAAAGTAATTATAATTGTAATTAGGGTTTTTATTTATTCATTCAAAAATATACGGACATTAAGTCCTATTACAGCATATATAAAGTGTTTAAAGCTGTATAAGTTGCTATATGTTTGTGAATTTTTTCAAAACTATGAAAAATAAAATTATAACGAGGTTATAACTATATTACGACCACGTCTATGATGCTTTTTATCCATTAGTGATACTAAAAAAAAAATGTTTTTGTATAAATTACTGAATTCAAATATTAATTGTTAAAAAAAAATCCTTTAAATATATCTTTAAAAAAAAAAACTTCTATTTTATCTTATTTTTTAGAAATTATAAAAACAGAATTCAATAAAAAAATTACAAGTCTCATAAATAATAACTGTGGCTTGGAGCAAGAAGGGCCAATGTCACTTTTTGCAACTTTTGGAAAATGAGCTTTGTAGTTTTTTTTTCCATTAGGCTCTATGTTAATTTTTTTTATCAAACTCTTCATGAGTAATTTATTTTTTGGCCTCGGAGTGTGATTTTTTCACAGTATATAAAGAATGATTCAATTTTTGCAATTAGTGGACTAACTCGTTTATGTACAAAATTGACATTGGCCCATCTTGCTCCAAGCCACAGATATTATGTATACATTTTTAAAATTGAATACTCTTATTTACAAAAGTTAATAGTATTTTAGAGTTAGTTAAGAGTATTTTATTTTGTATTTATTAACTATTTTATGTGATTATATAAATATATAAATAAAAAAAGTCAGTACAGTGAAGATGGAGCATATTGGGAGGGGAAGTCACAGACCTACAGAAATTATTATAACTGAAAGTGATAAAACCACTCAAAAAATATTAGTTAAAAAACCAGTAAATATTAACTTCTCTTCTCGTCAGTAATCTCTATTTACGTTGCTGCTGTAGACGTGTTGGCTTCCTTTGCGATAAGATACTATCAAAGGTATTGACATTTTTATAGTAAACACAAAATATAGTGGCAATACAATATAAACGCAACGATAACGGTACTGAACTATGTTGTTGACAAATTCCCCGCTTAATACTTATGTGGTATTATTATAATTCCTATTTACCCATGTATGTATTATTTAAGGTTAAATCGTGGTATACAATATTCACATGGAATTATAATAACAAGGTGTATTATTTAAACAGCTGCTTAAATTGTAATATATATTAATAAAATTAATTCATTAATATAATATATGTGTAAGTATATTTTTGATCATGGTCCTTAAATATTATATTATTGGTTTAGAGTTCGAATTGGAGTGGCCGAAAAAGGAATTTTTGAGGAAGAGTCAAAAGGAGCTTTGACCAAAAAGTATGCTGGCTGAAAAGGTGTAGATCCATTTTGGCCGAAAAAAGTGGCACCCAATTATTAGTTATAAATATTACACGGATTGTGAAATTTTCAAAAATGAAATAAGTATATCAATATCAAATTTCACATGAAATATTTTATAGGGGAGTCTCAAATTTTATTGTTATGGATAAATATAACTTACAGTTCAAATCCGAGTTCTTCATTCGTACTAGTATTTGTCATTAATGATAATTACTCCAAAGTGTATATAAAAATATGCGTTATAACCTATTAAAAAACATTTTTATATTAATACATGTTTTACTGATCTAGAAGTTAAATGTATAATCTCAAAGCACTAAATACATACATTAGTTAAAAATTAAGTCGCATGATCTTGACAAGTCAGAAAATTAAGAAAATGTACTAAATTTGTAAGTAAATAAAAAATCAGAATATTACACAAACACAAAATATATTACATCATATTCTAGATTGTGATGATGAATAATAGAAAATTTTTAAATATTACAATGTCTAAACAATATAAAAATTAGTTTTACACAATAAAATCATTTATAAGAAACGAGTTTTAATTAAATTTTTTTTTTAATACTTACATTCTCAAATATATATAGCCATGCAGCATTGGTGCAAGATTACTGACTGAGCGTTAGTATCACAAAAAAAATTTATAAAAACGATCTTTACTCTTGTTTTTAATAATATTATATGAACAGTAATGGACTATTTTTATCATGCGGGCATTGTTCAATTCTACACGAGGGTATAATAAATAAATACAATAATACTGTTTGTTGTTGTTAATCAAAAGCCAATCTCTTTATTGAAATTATCAAGATTATTATTAAATATTTGGTAACAATTATTTGCAATATTACTAGGTACGACTAATGACACTATTAAAGGAATATCAACTGTCATCTCCTATATCAAAATTTAGCTTTTAAAAAAATATGTTTTTCTTCTTAACGACGTACAGTGAGAGGAATCAAGCTTCTAGACGGTCAAAAATAGAAAAATTTAATATCGTATTTATTGATTATAACCATTATTATTTGTTGACACGTATGTGACTATGATAAATACATCACAATATATAATAACTATTAAGTACCAAGCCGATAAGAACAGGTAAGGCTCATTCAGATTGTTGAATTTAATGTGAGCAAGTGTCTGCGCCTATATTTTAAATCTTAGCTATGTTGTCCATAAATATATTTTTTTTTTTTAAAAACGGATGGCCAAATTATTTGTTATTTATTATTATTATTATTTTTTTTTTGAAAATAAACATATATACCATGTAATAACAGAAATTATTCATTATTTAGTAGGAAAAATGTTCAGGGGCTATAAGAGGTTTTTTTTTTTATTCAAACCTAAACACATATGATTTACGAATTATTCCCCCTTGAACTCCCCAATTGAATTGTTGATGTTTTTTTAGGCAATAATAGTAATGAGCAAAATATAATAAATGGTTTTTTGTTTGAAGTATGTTTGTAAAAAAGGTTTAAAACACAAAAAAAGTGAAATGAAAAGCATAACTGATAATTTGAAAAATAGACTTGACAATAATTGGAACTTGGAGAACGAAGAAGTTGAAAATTGTATGTGAAATAAAATTGAGAGATTTTGTAGTGCCGTCTATAAAAAATGGAAGCAGTCAAACTATTTTGTAACAAAATTTAAAAAAAAAATGAATGTTGGCTACAATTAGATTTTAATATCCCTTTCGCAAAAATGTGTGATGTATCTGGCCAATCATAAGTTCATCGTATATCTATTGATGGACACTTAAAATGAAAAAGCTTACATATTATTTATACTAATAAATTTGTATACTACTAATAACAAGCGTATATCTTAACTAGATTTAAGTTTTTCATTTATTCATAATAATAATTGGAATTTCTAAAGCATTTCGCATTGCGTTGCGTGTTACCGAATTTAATAAAGGTTGGGAACCACTGTTTTATTATTTTGTCAATGAAAAATGAACTCTTTATTTTACTAATAATAACGGCCATGGAATATAGGGTGTCCCGGTAATAATTGGTTGCCAGCCCCACTCATACCAGTTATGAGGTTGACACGTTTAAACTATGTGGGAAAAAACGTTAGATCATCTATCAAGCGATAACTTTCATCATACAAAATATACTAACGCATATAATTTATGCTCTATGTTATTATGAGCAAAAAAAAAAAATAATAATAAAAGATGTACTGAATTGACCTGATTAATTTACACAATTGAAGCGTGCAACGTTCATAATATAATGGATATACATTTTTATTCGAGCAGATTTGGTTGTTATTAATAATAATTTTAGTTTGCAGATAGTATCACTGGTTTTAATTAATTAACAAAAACAGTAATTAATTTATGTATCGCTGGTTAATAGAAAAATTGCTTGTATTTCATAATACGTACCTATTATGAATACCTATAGGCTATACTAATTGTCACTCTGATAGTTCTGGGAAAAGGACGAGAGAACAATTTATTATTCTCTCTTCGCGAACAAAACGAAAACGGTAATAATAAAAACTAATATTTTGTGCGGAACTTAATTAAAAAATATTAATCTCTTAATTACCCTTCATCCACAGGGTTATTGTTCAAACATTTAAATCATTTAACAGATTGGATAAAAACCAACCACTTATAGCTAAATAAATTAACTCGTTAAAATAATAATGCTCTTAAAATAAAAGAGATTTTCAAAAGGATGTTTGAAGTCTGTTATAAATTCATACTAGGTACTTTTCAATTTGCTAATTTTTGCCTATTGTTTTTGAACGTAAAGTACGCTAAATCGTGGTAAACCGAATGGTAGGTAATATTATGTACAAAATAAGACAAATTTTAACCGTTCTAAATAATTGTTTACCCTCATCATATATCTGGTCTGATTAGTACTAAGGTCTAAGTATAAAATTTGTATTATTATATAATCTGTGTGACACAATCATTTGATTTATCCAGTTTACGGTACTATAATTTGTTGTATATTTCCAGTTTTTACTTAATACAATGCAATATGACTAATTTTTATTAGTTCGCAACTATTTTTTTAGTATAAAGTATATTGTATATTAAGGAAATTAATACTTACAGTTTTCACTTGAAGTTTTTTCTATACTGTATAATGTATATTGTCGTATATACAATAGTAATGAGTTATTCACTAGTAGCCTATTCAAATAAGAAATCTCTAAAATGTTAGGTCACTAACTTAACTTTTTTATAAGTAATTCCTCGTGAATTATTTTATTTTTATTTCATTAGCATAAGAAATTTTAATTAAACAATTTCTCGAAGCTGAAATATGGCACTTCAAAATTATTCACAACAAAAATTGTTTTTATCAATTTACAGTCCATTAAAACTGAAAATTTGATAACTTGTTAAAAAAAAAAATTTATGTCTAAATATTAAAAGAAGGATTTTCAAGTGTCAAATTTTAGCTTTAAGAATCTTTTTTCATATTGAAAAGTTTTTGATATTTTCACCATTCAAATCATTAGATATTATTTAACAAAATAAATGGTCATATGCATAAGAATCGCAGGTAATTAGATGTACCTGCATTTACTAATTTGGCTAACCCATTCTGTAACACAGTAACTAACGTTTGGGAAATCGTACAGTAGAGTGAGTGTACTTACTGAATTTAATTGGTAAGCCGCTAAGTTATTGTGTGCCTATAATAATAATAATGTAGAAAACAGGGTTTGCTGTTAACAAAATTTTGATAATTTAGAGGACTACCAAAGTTTAGGAAATTGGATCTCATGTACGATTTTCCATATGTAATAACGATGTGTTATACAATTGAACAGCCAATTATCTGGTCTCTACAAATTACAATCATGGGTTATAATCTATTGTAAATATGTCCATCATATGAGTGAAATATCTATTTTATCTGGTATTTTTCATTTGTTACTGAAAATTGTAAAAACTCTCTGATAATCGCCATAATAAAATGTATATAGGGCTTACTGAGATTTGTGGGAGTTTGTATAAGATATATAACACAATTTACAAATGTATTATAATAATATACGCATTTATTTTCTATAGTTTAATAACATAAGTGTCTGGAAAACTACCACGATATATTATTTCTATTTTTCATTACATACAATGGATTTTATTAGCAATAAACTAAGTTTTTTTATTGTTATAGTAGGTATAAAATATGGAAACCGACCAATACGCATTATAATATTCTAATAGGCAAATAATGATAAAAAAAAATATTTTTAGCAATTGCAGTGCTTTGAAAATTGTACTGAACATTAGAACAGATTTTATTTAATAATAATAAAATATTATTCTTAGTAATTTTCTTATAAAATATATTCTCATTGCTTTGAATTGTTTTTGGCGGACTTAAATATCTGATTAAATGTATAAATAATAATAGTTAAATTACTATCTGCTATGTTAGGTGAGATAATTAAAAATAGTATAATACTCTTATTTAGATGCGTTTAGTTTTATTACTTGTGTTATAAGCATTTTTGTTGGCTTAAATGTTAAATATTTTTTGTTAATACTATAGTTTACATTTGGCCGTTTGATAACAAATAGATAATTGATAAAAATAAATAAAAAATTGTTCACCGAAACTTACTGTTTTTTTAACGATTTTTTTTTAGAGAAGCCGCTTGAGTTCTGTACGATAACATAGTTTTAGAATGATGTAAACGCATCGTTAGTTTTTACCAAAAAGTCCCGATTAGTATTTATGCACACTATTTTAATGTGCGTTTAAATATTATAGTTGCGGATATCCGAATGTTGTTACATCTAGGCCGATCACTTAAGTCCACTAGGAAGTAAGGCTATAAACTAACGTGATGAAACGTTATTACTATTTCGTTGTTTGACGGCGTGCTAACTGCACTCTCCCCACCACATCTTGTCACTTAATAGTTGTAAACAATCTGGCATGGGACACAAGTTCTAATGATAGGGCTTTATAAAAAAAATAACCAGTTTTAACAATCATATTTCTAAGACACGCAGCGTGAGGAAAGCTGTATTCATACTGTTGCAGTCGTTGTTACGGCAATGCAGTATTGGATTAGTTAAAGCAAATCAGCATCGTACATTGGGTAAATCCGTGACACCATGCAAGAGATGAGATTGTACACCATTCGACAGCTTAAGTACTATAAATTGTCTTGAAATGTGTCGATTTATTTTCGATACCGAGTCTTTAGTGTGTCGTACAAAACGTACAAAGATAAGTTTTTCACAGAAGAAATACTTACAACTTGTACAAAAAAACATGTCGACATACTTACAAGATTTGGCACGGTGATGTTGGGGTGGTCACATATTAAATGGTAACATTAGTTTAAATAAACATTCAACATGATTAAAAATAAGTGGAAATAAACGTTGAAGACATAATCTTGTAAAAAAGGGATAAGGGTATGAGTCACTTTTATGATTTTTGATATTCGTTTAAAAGCAGGATGCATACAAAATAAAATGATAACATATGAGTGGAATCATATCAAAATAACAACTGTTAATTCATTTGAAATCAATCTAAACTGGTTGAAGATTTCTAGAGACTTTTTAAGTTTCGACTCAACAAAATATTGACTATATAGTATGTAGAATTTCTGATTGGTCAATGCATTAAATGCACAAAGATTCCACAAAATCAGAAATGATGTATACACAGATAAAAAAAACAGTAATGAAAATAAAATCAATTCCTTCTCGGGTCTGCATCGTAGCTAAACCAAATACAAGTGCATCGATACATAGACAACATTGAATATTGCAGACATTGTTTTTACTTATTACAATATGTTTACTTTGAGGAAAATAATGGTAAAGCAAGTACAAAACTAGAACACGTTATTGAAATTACTTTTATACATTCAGTAGAAAATAGAAATATTGATTACAGTCAATTGCAAGAGCCAATAACAAATATTATTTGTTTTTTATGTTACGATATAATATGTGTTATAAGAAATATCGTACTTTATTACATGCATAACTTATTAAAATAAATTGTATACGGGGCTAACTGTGACCCAGTTAATATCTTAATAGTTATTAGAGTTTTTTTTTAAATTATACTTCTTCATTCTTTTATAGTTATTGGTTAACCCAAATATGATATATTTTTTAATAATACAACCAACGGTAGGTGGGCACCGCGGATAAGTAACTTGCGCAGATAAAAATAATACTACACTACACCCTTCCTCTCGCCCTAAATTGTTTTCATTAATAACTTTAATTACCCAAAACTGATTATTGATTTTTTTTTTAAATAGTTGAAATGTTCAGAAAATTATTTTTAATTTAAAAAGTTAATAAAAAAAGTATACGTTATCATTTTTAAAGCTTAATAAGATTCAATAAAGTATGTCAAAACTGAACGAACTAATTGCCAAAAAAGTATAAAAATGAATAACTTAAAAGTAAACAACTAAAAAGTCTAATAAATATTAAGATGTTGACTGAGTCATGGTCACCTTGTATGCGTATACACGAAATATACTTGTATTTAGTACCTATGCTAAATTAGTATTTATTTATAGATATTATTTGTATTGCACTATAGACTTAAAGTTTGGCTTTTCTACGTACATAAGTTAGAATTTGTACAACTTTCGCGTGTCAAGACGTCGTAATGTAATCCATATCTGGTAACGACCTTTACAGGTCTTTACCTTTAGTTCGGTATAGATTCGTTTTATAAATTGCCAAATAGGCAGAGACGGATTATGAAGAAGCCGCCAATCAATTTCTTAGCATACCTGTCAAAAGTTGTTCGAAAACCGTATTTTGAAATTTTGATTAAATATGTCATACGTAAATAAATAACAATAATAATTCAAAAAACCCAAAGGTCTACGTTTTTCAAAATTCCAATTTCTAAGATATAATATATCAAAAATAGCCAAAATAATTTTAGTTGGTCGAACTGTGTATTTTTTTCCGTGTGCCTACCGCAAATTCCCTACGGGTGATGATTCTGGTTGCCTGTAGCAGACACCAATCACGGTGAGAGGTTAAAAAACCTTCAATATTGATCTTTGCTGTTATCACTCAAATTTACCGCATATCTTATGAGAGTTTTTCTTTTTTGGTCATGTCACCATGGAAACCTGTATTCTTCTGGTTTTCTCGTGATTTCATTTCTTGCATAATTGGAATTCGTTTTCGAAGAAGTTATGTGCCAATGATTTGGCAGCGGGTCTTTTTTGTTGGTCTTTCTTAATAAAAAAAAGTTTGACAACAGATATTTGAGAAATTCGTTTATGTTATAGCACCACTCTAAATGTACCTTCAGTCAGTAATATTATTCAGATTTTAAGTGACAAAACTACGCCCTAAAAAGAGAAGTATAGAACAAATGTTCTTCTTTTCTAGGAGAAAGAGCTTTTACTGTATAGTGGTACTAATTCAACTAGTTTAAAAAAAGTTCTAGCGAGCCATAATATTAACTTAAAATGATTGTAATTTTATTAGGCGTTTTTCTTAATTGTGAAGGGTAAGGTGTGTACATTTTAAATGTTCGGCCTATAAAAAAGTATCTTTTTATTACAAATTTTGATTTATTGACTTGCAAACGAAGAAATCGGTTGACCGTCTTAAGAGATTCACGGGTCTAGACAAAAAAAAAAAACAACTGCCTAATCATTGTTTCTTCAAAAATGAAAGATTTCACGTATTTGCCACGGTTTGTAACCGTGTCAAATACGCTTTTGCGACAAGATTAGTTTTAAAAATCACTTAATCACTTATAAAAAAAAATTACATTCGTCTAATAACTATGGGTTAAACGTAGTAGATAGTTGATATTCTGGTCAACTTTAGATTGTATTAAACACATATAAAGACATACGAAAACTTCAAACTTGTGCGTTTAGAGTTAGATTTAAATTTGAATATAATTAATTGTACAACCGAAATACCTAGTACCGCTTCAAGCACAAATCACCGCTATAGTCGACTTTGAGATGTATTCATTATTTATCCGTCGCCTATTTTTTATGTTCATAGTCACTTTCGTCTCTCTTTTAGGGTTGGCGCTATAATACGAATTTTGTTCAACGGTGAAATTCGGTATTATTTTTTTTAAGCAGTTTCAAAACCAAATATTTGACGTTTCCCGATTGTGGACGGCCCGTCGATTTCGGCCGTTAAGACGGTTTCGAGGGCCGCGCATACTCTATAGCCCTAAGTACAGGAGACGAGGGGTCTTTGCCCTCGCGGTGACGGCGGTAGTTGCCGGAGCAATCCCCGAGACCACATGGTAGTCACGCCGCAGCCGCCGAGGACTTAACTTCAGCCGTCGAGCACGACTTCTCGGTCACACGGGTTTTTCCGTACGTGACGCCAGTCCGTTTTTTAAAAACTATTGTCCATAATATTTTGTTCAGAGTTTTTACTCTCTCTTATTTTTCACCGCGATCATTTTGTCTCGAACTCGAAAAATACAGATTTCCGACCTAACCCGACACATTATAATATACAATAATTATCGAAACGCTGCTAAAGTTGGACACCGACCAAAGAAAAAATATCATATAGAACACAACACAGTATTTTAATAATTGGTCCGAGTACACGTACATATATAATAAGCAAACACAATGGCTGACGAGAGACCGACTACGTAAGTCTAATATATAACTTCATACTACGACCGGAGACAGGGTTTCTGTATTTTATAACGCCTATTATTCACACATCATCGATGAAATAGCAGATATACTAAGTTTTATTTTTTAAAGTTTCCAAACATAAATTTAAAAATAAGTTTAATTTTTGGTTAGTTTAAGTTACTAAAATCCAGTTAAAAATAATTCTAGGTGATACATATTATTATTTTATAGGTTATCTATTCATAACAAGTGGAACGATAAAAACTACAAAAAACTGTTGATATCATAAAATTGTATAATTATATATTAATGTTTGAAGATATTTATGTTCAAGTAATGAAATTTAGTAACGTTTTAAAGTTTAATAACGTTTAACTGTGTAATAACGTTAAGCGCCAAATAAAAATATCGTTTAAGTATGTGACATTACGGTGTTTTGTACAACGTAAAATATAATAAAAGTAATTTTAAACTTTTTGATGTCTATATCTTAATATTTTTGACAAAACAAACATTATTAATATAATTACATTTTTTTATCATTATTCCTTATTGTAATAAAATATTTTATTGGTTATTCAAAATTATGTTAAAATGTACTATTTAATAAGTACTTAGATCTATAAGTATCGCATAACTTAATTTTTTAAGTCTCTGCTACAAAGTATTAGAAAATGTAATAGGTATTTAAAAAATCATATCGTGGTATTAAGTTCTCGAAGTTCGAATACTAAAACGATTGACCCAATGACATATATATTTTTTTCTTTTAATTTACTATGGCGTTTCTACTATGATATTTAAAAATCAACACTCTTGGATGGTTGGTGCTCGAAGTATATTATAACAATACAATATAACTAACTTTAAAGAGTTTGTATGACCGAAAATGATAAAATCACTTTCAAAAACGCCCTGAAGCGATGCGAATCTTTCAATTTAAAAAATATTACATAATAATTAAAATCACTGTACACAGACAATTTACAATATTGGTATGACTATAATCGTGTTATAATATATTCTTTAAACTTTTCTTCATAAAAAAGTGTATACAGACTAAAGAGTGATTGGTAAGATAGCCGAAGAAAAAATATCCAGGGAAAAATAACCATAGAAATATGATCCGGAATTTATATATCCATGGTAAAAGAATCTCTATGGAAGTAATATTCTCATATGATATTATCCACGGCAAAAAATATCTGAGGTAAAACATCAAGTGTTACGGTCCAAGTATATAAGTGGTCAATGTAAACACTGCCTGGGCCAAGTGTACAATGCTCGAGTTTTTACTAAAAGTGTCAAGTGAACAAAATATATTAGTATACTTAATAACTGTTGTGATCTATTGACTCAAATTGAAACTAAAAATAATTAATCAATTATTCAAAGACAACAACAAAAGTGAGGCTGTTATTATATAAGTCCTTGACCTCCTAAATTGGAAAACCATCTAGCAGCTTCTCTTAGTGATAGTTCAATGTCGGGTACATCAACAACACTTACTAACAAACTCCTTGCAAATTTTAAACCAATTTTTACTGTAATAGTTTTACATTATATCATTTTTTGTCTAATATTCAAAAGTCTAAAATTTACATTCCCCACACCAGTTTTAGCTTTGTGTACATGACCAGGACATCCTTTAAGAAAGACCGATTTATCCATTTAGCCCATAACAAATATATGTGTATACATGTATAAAAATATTATTATGTTTACTTCATTAGTAGTTCTTTTGTATAGTAATTATATGATACTAATTGCATATTGTCAAATAGATTAAAATCGATTTACTTAGATAATCACTGACGGCTACAGTATAAGAACGTCTTGTTAAATTGATTTTCGCACTATTTGAAATGAGTTAAATTGTTAATAAGGTTTTAACACGCTTATTGACGGATCAGCAATAACGACGTAAGCGTAGTAGTTTTTTTAGACTATAAATTTGACGGTTGTCGTAGATTTTCCAATTGCTTACTGCAAGTACAGTTTTTATTTGTACGTTATCGAAGCTTCGACAAAATATCTCAAATGTCTTCCGTGATCGTTTATAAGTTGTCGAGAAGTCCCTCAGATATTTAATGGACTAAAAGTTCCACTCGGATAATTTTCAGAGATATGTTAAAAATGCAGTTTACTGTTTTTATCGGGTTTAATACTGTTGTATGGTTTATTATTGTCGTAAATTTTATGCATATTTTGACACGCTGTACGATTACTTTTATGTATGCAAAAGGAATTCATGTTATTATCTTTCTTCTGTGGAAAATACAAACCATCGAAATTCTTGTCTTTTGTAATTAACCCACTAACATTATTGACAATTGGGTCTTTTTGAACAATATAAGAGTTCAATTGCTGAAAAATTCATAGAACAATGCTGACGTTTCGGACTCATTGCAGAGTCTGTTTTAGGAGCGATAGTCACTGGTCGACTGTCGTGACTATACTGACTGGTTTATTTAATTTTAATTATAAAATAGATAAGGAAATTAAAAGATCCGATATCAAGAAGTCTGGTTACCTCGATTAGAACTAAGGACAAAAAAACAAGGGATAAATGTTAGAGGATTATCTAAAATAGTGTAGTTAGAAAAGCTAATATTTTAATTTTTCTATTTTACTATCAAAAGAAAATTACCGACTATAAAAACAATTTTAAGATAACGCGAAAAGTGACAATACAAGTATATTTATTTAATTATAATTTTATAACGTACCTAGTACTTAAAATAAACGTTTTCAAGTCTGATGTAATTCAAAGTTGAGTACAGCTGTATAAGGAATTATGTCCATTTAGAGAATACTGGTGGCTAATTCTAAGGGCAAACCAGCACAATATTACTCAAGTAAAATATTATTTGTTTTTAGAAACTATAATGTTAAAATAAATGCGTTTTACTTTGCTTCATTTTAACAAAATGGGAGTTATGAAAATCGTAAAGACTTGATAAACAGTCAACTTTGCTATTGTCGTGTTACGTGAGAGTACTAATTTTTAAGGGAAATTTCTCCTTCTCGTTTATAAGTAAGCCAAAACTCTTGAATTTTGTATGGCATTAACCAAAATTAAACTTTAGACACAATAAATGCTTGTACGAGTAGACACATTTTTCCAACTCAATTAAGTTGAAATGTAATAAAGAGTTTACCAAATTAAAATTTTTTTTTTATTGAATACTATTAAAATATATTCAATGTTTGGTACTTGCGCCATGTATTCTTTAGGTAGTTGTCCATATTTTTAATTTTCTTAATAGTCTTAATCATAGTTTTACTTTTAAAATATTTTTAGTAAAATCATTCGCGATTTTACATTCCAGAAGTTTAGCATGAAAGTGCATTATCACTTCTTAGTTCTTAGTATATTTTCGCCAAACCAAGAACTATGGAGTCTCAGTAAGCTTCTTTTTTTTTGAATACTGCAAATTTTATCTGAAGGGAGTGTTGGTATTAGTTTGAATCGATCAGTACCTACCAAAATTTGGTCCTGTCTGTAACTGCCATAATTCCACAAGATCCAAACTAATAAGTACTGACACGTATGATAATTGTATTAATATTGTTGCTGAAGTGGGTTTTGAAATTTATTTCTTGGCTATTAGTTTTAGAGAACTGTTGCATTGCTGTTTTAAACTATCATTGTGAACATTTTCAGTTTGGCCGTAGCTGACGTTTCCAATATTGTTGATTTCTCAAAGATTCGAAAATGAAAGGCGTCATGGGCCACGACTGGAAAATGCATTGGTTTGGAGTAAGTCCCAGTAGTTCCGAAGACATCAATAATAGTTGGTCGGAGGCGGTTCACCGGGAAAATATTTCCGTGGTGAGAGAACTTTCAAAAGAGATGGATTTAGGCGTAGAACTGTTTCATGGTTATTCACCGGCCCTTCTGACGTTTGCAAGCATCTGCTGTGTAATATACATGCTGGTCGGCGTGCCCGGCAACCTCATTACGATCATAGCTCTCTTCAGATGTAAAAAGGTATGTATTGTTGGTAATCTAAAACTATAATACATTATATGGAAGCACTTAAAATTAGCTATGAGTATGAGAAAAATCTTTAATGTAGTTAGTCAGATTTATAATACCACCTTATCTGTTCGAAACTATACACCGGCTTTCCTTATTTTGTAATATAACGAGACTTAAAAAATAAAACTTTAATTATTATAAATTTAAGCTGTATCGTTAAAAAGTAAAACAAACTTAGTATGTTATACATACATGATTCTGGAAATTAATTTTATTGGTATGTGTGCGAATTCAATTTTTTTTTTGTTTCTTTGAAAAAGGGATTCATAACGCTGACGGTCGACGACCGACGGTTGTTTGAATATTGTCATGTATTTTTTTTATCATCCCACGCCTGTTGTTGAAGTACTATCTTCGTATTATGAGTTATCAACTTTTACAGTGTTACTTTTGTATTAAAGGATTATTTTTAAAAGTTTGTTATTCATATCTTCGCTATTTGCACGGAACACCGTGACATTACGTTATATTGCTGATTTAAAATACAGTAACGCTTTGACGATAAAAATAACATTTGGTCGTTCTCCTGATTTCATCCGGCTGACCTTTGATTTAATAAGTATATTTTATAAAATAATGCATTATAACAATAACGACAACATAATATTATATGTTCAAATTTATTTTTTCAAAAACTTTCAGTAGCCCACGCGCACATTGACCCTATATTTAGCATTTAATCTTTAAAGTTTTCGAATTTTAATAATATTCTTTATCGAAAAAACTCAGTCGACCAAAATCGATTGGCTTATCTAGGTTAGGTACATACATTATAAATTACATTATACTATATTATATTATAATACACAAACATCTAATATGATGTGCCTGAATTAATGACAAACTATGAGTTATTATTGTCTGCGATGAAAAAATAAACTATTTTTATGAAATTTTCAAATTTCTGAGTTATAAATTTTTATCTATGAAATATTGATTTGAACAAAATTAATCACTTTTTTTTTAAATTTCTTGCAATAGGTATTTTTATGATGATATTTTAAATGTTATGTATATTTTTAAATTATACTTTCACTGTTACTACTTAGAATGTAAGCAAAGAAAAACATGTATTAGACTTTGCATAACCGGGTTTAACCTAATTTTAATTGCATTATTGTAATCATATGATTAATTATGTATTAACTTTTTTATGTTTTTGATCTGATGTAACCAGCCAAAAATGGTATGCCTAAAGTCGCAAATTAATTAACTTTTACAGTGGGGATTATCATAAGACTTTAATTGTATACATAAAATATGTAAAAATGATTATGGCCTAATCTTAGCCTAGACAATTGTTTATTATATGTATCTATACTCATAATACCTAAAAAAGTATGTGCGAAACAAACAACTCAATCGACATGATTTTATTAACATTATTAGAGAACATGTTTCTCTATAGGGTAATTCAGTAATATTATTGGTATAATAGTATTATAGCAGAGTTTTATTTTCTGTCGAGACATCATTTGCTAGCTTGAATGGAAAACGTGTTTATTATAATACTATATTACTTACCGATATCACGTGCAATAGTGATAGTACTTATTTTTCTATACAAATGAGAAATAAAGTGATGCGCATTAGAAAAAAAGTGTAATAAATTGTATTCTTCCAAGTACAAAGGTGTCATCTGTCGTTAATTTGTCACCGTCCGTTGTACTGTAGATGATAAAAAACAATGAGATTCACAAAAAAAAAAAAAACAGGTTGCAAAATTTCTACTGTCAGTTTTTATTTAAAAAAAAAACACATTAATTACCGACCGGATAATGGTAATGGACCGTGGTCTAGTGTTCACGTTCAACATCATAACTCAACTCTTTCACCAGTTTTTGCACTTAAAAATATTGTATCGTACACAAAGCAGATGTTTTTGTATAGTTTGGCTACCTTAAAAAAAAATTCCAAACGTTATTTTACCGAAAATAGAAAACAAAAGACATTTTGTAGAATACCGAGCTCAATCATTTAGGAGTTTTGTCCGGAAACTTTGATGCTGCAACGAATTAACTTGGTGTTTGTTATGCGGTTCACAGCTGTTAAAACGCACAATAGGATTTGTATTGTTAAAGGACATCAGAGTGCAGCGCAGCGCTCCCATCAGGGTGAATAGAAAATACATTTATCACAGCCAAGACAATTATGGTTGTATACTAGTTATTATAAGTTTGAAGCGAGTTCACTGATCTATAGATTTTTCATTATTGATCAGCACAGATGCGTAGTTATGATTTTGCTCGATGAGCGGAGATGAAACATTATGTTACTTTTACTATTAGACAGTGTCTTCAATATCAAGGTTCTCTCGTCGGCTTATTTTTTATTTTATTAATCAAACTTTCAAAATTTATATTTTAACTCTGGCATTTTTTTACTTTTTTAAGTGGTTGTATTTAAGGTAAAATTTAAGTTTTCTAAAAAAAAAAAACCGACGGGAGAACCTAGTTGAAGTTGTTTTTTTTTAACGATATCAAAATATTTTTTTTTATGCGCATTTCGCTTTGACCTACACGCTTTTCCATAAACACGTTTTTACGGTTATTTTTAAAAGGTATGACGTTTGCTTAATACTAATCAAAACGTTGTCACGGTTAAAACAAATACAGATTAAGAGGATGTAAGCTAAGACTCTTGGCTCGCAGTAGCCCGCCCTCCGGATCCCGAGGTATCGATGATACTTTGCAGACACTAACTTGCCCACAACCGTGACCACTGGTGGTCGAAATTGCTAAGTAATTTGTCTTATTGCGGAATAGGCTGCGGGTAGGTCGGCTGCGAAGTTTCCCGATACGATAACCGTTAAACCTGACCTAACCTTAGCCATCGGGGACTGGTCGTCGTATTCGGCGTGCACACGCCACCAACGCTGTACTTAATGTTATTATCATCGTTGTTATTTACTCGAGCGAACTATAGGCAAGCCTATCGGCAAAGAGCTCGGAAAAACTTTTAAGACGGGACTGATTTAGAAATTGCAGTTGATTAATCAGCGAGTAGTTTTGTACAACTATGGCTCTGTGCTTTGACTATAACCGGACTCGGTGGCGGCGACGACGACTCTAGTGTTCGGAATCTCTAGCTCGGAACGTACAACACATACACACACACGGTATAGTACACAAAGCCTTTGAATGTGTACACGGTTTTACCATTAAACGCATTAACCGGCGGTAACGGGCCATTTCTGTATTATACCGGTGGACGCGCGGGTAAGGGTGGCCTTGCCCGAATTCCATCAAAAACGGGTTTAACGGGGTTATACAGGGCTAAAAGTAAAAAAAAAAAAAAAAATAATGAAAGAAAGAAAAGAAAAAGGCAATTTTGTCTCGTCCACAATAGGTGTGTGTGTGTGTGTGTGTGTGTGCGTACGACCGCAGGGTGTTCCGGATGGGTTCGTCGTACCCCGGACATTGCATCGACCTACAAAAGAGCGGCGCTATTAGATTTTCTAGATATGTTGTCCATCGTTAAAATTCGATTTAATCGATTTTCGGTAAACGCCGTTCCACAAAATACTTACTCCGCGAAGACACGATGGTCTATGGATAGTTCGGCCACGGTGCTATCGTCACGGACGGACGAGATAAGACGCTGTGCCGAGTGATGATGATTTACGACTTGACCGACTTGGAAATCGGCTGTTAACGACCGACCACTGATGTGTTTACCTCGTGTGTTATGTGTATTTAAGAGCAGTTCCTCAAACGTCGTCATAACTGGCACATAACCGTGAAACACCTTTCTCTCCCAAAAGTTTAACTACAACAGCTCTGCGAACCACGTAACAGTAGTATGACTGTTGAGCCTATGTATATAGGTGAAGCTGTATGGCTGGAAGTTTCTGCGTTGCTTTGACGGTGATTTTACTACCCAAACATTTGAGTTACAAGCCATTCACATGTTCGTGGTTGCATAATTATGTTCTCAAACCGGACAAGAAGCCTGCCAATATTGCGTTAATTGTCAACTAATTTCAATTAGTAGAAAGTAATAGCCAAGTATAAGTGAAAAGCTTTTCCATATAAAGATGATCCAGCTGCACAGTCAGGCCCGTCTCGCTGAAGATCACCTATATATTCCATACAGGAAATCAATTTAATGTTTTTTATTAGTTTCGTCAAACATGTTTTCGATAGTTTTTAAATATGTTTAAACAAGTTTAAAAATGTTGTTAAGTATTGGAAATATTTCAAAACAATTATTGAACATTTTGTAAATAGCATTTTTGAAACATTAAACGTTGCGCCAAATCATCTTTTTAACTTATTGAAAAATATTGAAAATATATAATCAGTTTTGCTTTATAAGATATTATTAAGACTTAATAATACGGTAACAATAAATAAATCATAATAATAAATCTACTAGTGACTGTCTAACATTCGAAACTGTACACTAATGTTAACTAGGTCACTTATTCGCGATGCAATTTATTGTGGGATCAATTTACCGTGTTATAAAGTTATTTTTCTTATTATGATTGTTTTTAGATTCGATGCGAAGCTGAGAAGGTATTATTTTTACAATGATGCATATTTCTATTTACAATAGATTAACACTACTGCGGTTTAGCGAAATCCCAAGAAAACATTATTAACCCATTATACACCCTTTCCCTCGGAAGGGCAAGAATAATTTCCTTTATTTCGTTTTTAGGTGTAGTTTTAGGTCTTAAGGTAGATATTATGTAGTAAAATTATAACTTATACATTTTTTTCAAATCTGTTGTCCGATTTTTTTTTATTGGAAAAAAAAAAGAAATGGTATAAATCACACTTGTGGCATATTACATTTCCAGGTTGCTATCGACAATCAACAGGTATCTAAAAAACATTTTCATAATATTGTTGGTGGCTATATATGAGTATTAACGTCAACAAATTATTAGGATAGACATAGATCAATCTTATTCGTATCCACCCTAATAGTAAAAATACAAT